AGAATTGGGAAGATGAACAGAGCACAGATCAAGTCAATTCAATGACTTTGTTCCCAAATAAAAGCGACCTGGATATCCCTGCGTCTTTGCCTTTCCGGAAATCCCACTGACGTAAGAGATCACAAACCATTTCCTTGTAGGGCATTTGTAGATGATACCGTTGAAGGACTCAAAGTTTAACTTTAAAGCTTGTAATGCATTTAACATTATAAAAGCTGGCATTTTTACTTTCTTCACCTATCCGGTAACTTGCATAATAAGAGAAAAACTTTAATGCTGGCAAGCGGAAAGTGCCATTTTGTGTCAGAAAACTCGTTTTTGATTGATGTGTATTCGGAGCTCGTAACTCATGAAAACCCATTATTCCAATGACGTTAGTATATTTATCTGTAGCTGAAGTCGCGGTGATCTGCGCTGCGAGAATCCGGCGCCGACCGACGTCAGCTTGGGAGGTTTTTCCTCCACCAGGTATCTCACTAGCGGGGATCCGCCTCAGCCAGGATAAGGCTCCCGATATGTGTTGCAGTGCAGTACATGTGAGAGCGTGTAAGTAAGTGGACGAGGACAAGAAAGAGGAAGGAAACATCACGAGCGGTCCATGGTCCGTTTGTTAGTGTACTACTACGGCATTCGCGTTATGCTGATCGGAGAAACAATGAAAAACTACCAATCAGAGTAGCCAGTTTCTGGAATTCTCGTCCATNNNAAGTAGCGGCTGAATTCGATATAGCTCAAGCTCATTTGACCATTTCGTGTCGAAAATCCTGCCACCGTCGGGACTCGAATCCTAGAACCTCCCTGACAGAGGCATTCCAGTGATATCAGAAGATGCTTTAAGCCACATTTGTCTACCAGAAAGACTCGTATTTAGGGGGCACTGATGTCAAAAAATTGGATAAATCTTGTTCCTATATGTAGTAAATTTCTTCCTCTAAAAAACGTTTTGTAGTCAGAATCCACGTTTAGCAGGTTTATGATTCGGAAAAATTTGTTGACGGTAAAACGTCTGTCTCTCCGTCTGTCTATTCATCCGTTCGTCAGTCTGTCCTGCGTCAACGCTTGCACCTAAACCGTAAAGGCGATTTCTTCAAAATTGATATTTCTCGATCGATCTGGTCGAACCCAATGTTCTGCGAATTCGAAGCGGATATTTTGATTTTGGATAGTTCTTTACATGAAGCCTTAACAACATTTTGAAAAGTTTCTTAAATATAGCTCCAAGATTTTTACTTTCCCTATACATACGCATAAACGGAGTAATATACGTAGTTTAAGGAAAGTTATGAAATGCTATGGAAAATAGATTTCGAGATTGCAACGGAAATACATATTTTGGAGCCCCCTGTTACCGAAAACATGTTTCTTTCGAAACGTCCGTCTATCTGTCCGGTTGTGTGTCTGTCCGTTTCTCTGTCTTTCCGTCCGTCCCTCTGTGAACTCTAGCGGCTGTACTATGCCAAAGATTTTTTTAAAATTAAAGAAACCCCTGTCTATCTGGCTCGAGCCGAAGTTGAGATTTCGAAAAACATTCTTCAAAATTTAGGGGTACTTTACATGAAGCTCCTGGAAAATTTTCAATTTTTTCTCAAAAATGGCTCCTTACGGGTTTCCCAGCCGGCATATTTCAGATACCCATGTGTTGGGGATTCATTGCGTATTCTGATGTTCTTGTAGTCGTGTTCTTACATGTTAGAGTAATTGTAGACATTTCTAAAACTAATTAAAATTTAAAAACTAAAGCAAAATCAAAGAAACGCCATCACATTCTGATATGGAAGCGTGTGAAACTTATGAATGTAAGTCTTCACTTCCCTTTCTTATCACAGCAGTTTTCGAGAGTGGTTGGCGGTTAACATCGAAAAAAACTGAAGCAATTCGGGGATATTGGACTTGTCAACTAAACGTCTGATTTATATTAATTTGTATTATTTATTTAATTTTATTTTAATTATTAACATCATTGAATATTATTTTCATGAAATGTAAAATTGTTTATCTCCACCTCTTAATGGATATGTGCTGCAGATTGTAAGTGACTGTCTAAATATAAGAATGGACCAAAGAAATTAAGACAATTAACTGAAGTTCTGAAAATGAGTGTGACATAGTTAGTCCAAAGTAAATAACTATAATCCTAGAACAAAAAGTTATACTATTTCATGAAGACGTTATAGAAGGTGTGATAATTGCCGGCTATTACGTTTTTAGATACACCAATTCTGCAAAATTATAAGCAACCCTCGGATTCACACGAAGGTAAGTTGGAGTTGTATTACTATTATGTACTAAATTAAAAATAATGTTTCATTAAATAACGTATTACTATCGATAGAACATTTGAAATAAAATTATTGCATTGCATCCTTAAGAATTTTTAATAAATAGGCAATTGCTCTCTGTTTTAAGTGCCAGTTGCATTAAAGAAAACATTGTCAAAATGGGTATTGTTATAGAATGGATTGTATCCGTACGAATCAAATAGTTTTTCAGATATAGTAATTTCTAGAAAGACCAAAGAAATGTAAAATTATATAATTAAAATATGTCCATCAAGTAATAATTTTACTAATAGTTTATTTCACATTAAATCGATTTTCTTTCTAATTTTGTTATTTTATTGTGTATCTTTCTTCTTTTTGTACTCAGTTCCTACGTACAAGCAAATCCATTGCCTCTGTCAATTATTTTTATTGTTATTTGTTTAACTGTGTAAAAGGTAATGCTCAATAAATATTATTTATTATTATTTCAAGAAATTATTTCAGGAATTATTTCTTTCAGGAAAATTATGAAAATAAATCCAATAGAAGGAGATAAAAGGCCTAAAAAAGGTGAACAAAATTGATTCTGCATTTTTTAAAATGGCATGAAGATAAGCAAAATACAACGAAATGTACATTGTAATAAGTTGTGATTTTTTTCCATTTCTCACCTGCTGAAAGTTCTGTATTTTCGACGATAATAAATTTTTGTGAATTTATGAAAGTAAAAGTAATTCCTCCATAATCAATAAATAAATATTATAAATAAATTTTTGGTAAAATTAATTCAATAATATTTGGTATACAAGTTAACGATTATTTATGTACCAAGATCTATATAAGAGTTCTGTTGATACTACCAACAAAAAGCCATGTCATGTTAGGAGTAGAAGAATTTGCTCTTGAAGAAGTAAACAGCAGTCAGAAATGTCAGCATTACTTTTAATTTTCTAGTATACGAAAGTAGTTATCATGAACGCACATTAAATTTAATGTACACGTACATTCAAGTTATTGTACGTATAGGATAATTACCTTCATGTAATTACATTAAAAATAATGCAAGCATTTCTGGCAGTGTACGTTTTGATCGCAAGGCACAGCTACATCAACAAGTAAACTATATTATTTCTTCAAAATTTCGGAGAAGAATATCCGCTTTGTTTGCCTCTTCCTTGATCTCCATCATAATGCTATTGAACTGCCATATCAAAATGGGCTGTTTTTAGCTTAAAGCCATTGCTGCTGTTTCTGCAGCGACTTAGACTGGGAGGTGCTAGGGTTCGAATCCCGACAGTGGGGTAATGTCGACAGTAGCTATATAGTTAGGAAGAATTCAGTCGCAGTTTGGAGGCCGGCTACTCCGATCGGCAGTTTTCCGTGATTTTCCGATCAATATGTAGCAAATCTATTTTGAAATTTGGGTGGATTGTTCGACTTTTCCAGCTAGCTAACGGTGTCCACCATGTCTGGACCTACTTTGTACGGTCTACCTAATTTGTAGGATTGGAGTGTAAGAAAGACGTTGGTGAACATGTATTCCCTTCACTGTATTTCAACATGTATTCCGATCATGTATTCCCTCCAGCTAATTCCACTTGCCAGAGTTTTTCGTCCTCCAACAGCTACAGAAACTGAGACGATTTTAAAGAAAAGCTACAACTCTATTTTTACCCCGACCGGAAATCGAACCCGGGACCGCACCACGGGAAGCTAGAACGCTGTCCATGAACCAACCTAGGGCTTAATACCAGGCGTTTGCATGAGATCTATTCTCTATCTTCCTTGTCCTACGTCTCCCCTTATGTACACACACACAAACACACACTTGCAAGCACTATACTACCAAAATGACGGGAGACCAGTTGAGAGCTACAGATTGTCCTGGCTGGGAAGATACCTGGAGGAGAAATTCTCCACCCCTTGACGCGTAGGTCGGGGAGAAACGCAGGGGAGAAACACCGGTACTTTCCGCGATAATTGCATTCACTACGCTAATGTCGGTAACAGTTGACGTGCCTAGAAATATCAATCAATTCATACCACTATATTATTAAATTAATTCAGATTCTCCATGTCCATCACACTACCGAATAAATATCAAAATAATATGCTCCCAACGAGAATTGAATGAATGTGAGAGAATTTATTGTTTTCAATTTAGTCACCTACAATGACGTAGTCGCGTATGTTATATCCAGGGAGGTGGCGATGATGGAACGCGAAACCTGGCGTTGACTTACATGTGCCCTTGCGGGGAATTTCTCCACCGCGGGGCAAACTGGGCTAACGGTGCCCTTCGGGTATCTCCCACCGCGGGGCAAACTGTCAGTTGCATCTGGTAGTGCAGTGCTTATAAGAGCAAGGGAAGAGGAGGTAACAAGAATGAGAAAGAAAACTTGTGCGTGGACTGTGGCACCTTTGTTAAGGCACTGCCACCGGTATTCGCACGATATTTATAGAAGAAAACACGGAAAACTACCGATCAGAACAGTCTGCCACTATAATTCTCCTTCAGAGTGATGACGAAAATCTGACTCCACTATCCTGACTCGCACCCTCGTTTAAGAAACGATCCAGCAGAGGCAACGAATGCTGAAGAGGGTCGAACAGGCACCCCGGACATCCCAACAGATATTTCCACATATGTTAAGCAAGCTCGTGGAAGGCTCGCGTCTTGCGCGGCGCACGCGATCACACTTTGACCTCGCCGAGGCGCCTTATCAGCGCGGCGATAACCGCGGAGAGACGTCCCGTTCGTCCCTCGAGAGGCGGGCTCCCGGCGCGGCGGCGCAGCCTCTTGCGGCGAGTGGACGCAGTCGCCAACCGCCCCTCTCCGCGTCGTCCTCGGACACTCGTCCGCCCGTCCGCGCGCGAAACCGACCAAGGTCAGGCAGGGAAGTCGACGAAACGCCCGCGGAGCGACTCCACAGAGCCTCCGGCGCCGCCGCGCGCCGCGCCGCTGAGCCGCCTTCGCTTTCCCGCCCGCGTCCGCGCCTCCGCCCCCGCCACCGCCCGCGCCAGCGCGGGGCCAGCGCCAGCTCCCGCTCCTCTGCCGGAGGCAGGCAGTCGCGCGCAGAAGCCCAGCCGCGGTGGCGCTCGCTTTCGAATCGCTGCTCGCGCACGACGCTCAGGACCGACGCATCGCCCGGCTCCCAGTCGCCGTCGGAAGACGTAAGTCGCGCGTGCGCCGTGTTGCTTATTGCTGCGCGGCACTGAAGAGCGGGTGAGCAGCTAAAACGAGCAGTTTTCAAACTTTAAGCTTTAACACATCTCTCCACATGATATTAAGCTAAATGTGCACCTACTTTTTGGGTTGTTCGACTGAGTGAATATTCTATGAATGGCTATAAAAGAGAAAAAAAACGAAATTTCTTCCTTCCAAAGATTTCATTACTTCCGTTTCATTATTTAAATGAAAGTCAATAAGAAAGTTGTTTAGAAAGTCGCTGCATTGAGACAGTTGTGTCGTCTCGTTCAGAAACTCGAAATTTGGTGACATTGTGGGATCAACGTAATTCATTGTACTGACTAAGTTCTCTTAAAATGTAGTAGGTTATGAATTGTTTATTTTAGATGGTTGTTATTTCAAAACGTTTGAAAATTACATGTGGCATTTACTGTATTTTCTGACAGCTTAGCGTTTTTCGTAACCTCCAAAACAACTCTATTGAATTATTAAAAGTCAAAGTAAAATGTTGTTGTTGTTGTAGTTGTTGTTGTTGTAATGTTTTATATAAGGCGATGCGGACATAATGTGTTTGATTATATTAATTTACTTAAGCTTTCTGTGAATGTGGCTGATTATTAATCCATTATTTTGCTCATAACATTGAAGGCACTCTGTCAAGGTTTTCTTATCTCGAATGTTGCAATGAATTCTTCGGAACCTAGTAGTTAAAACCGAAGAGATCTTGAAGGCAGAGGAGCAGAAAGACGAAGGCAACAAATCAGAATTTACTTTAAGAAAGAAACAAAACAGTTTCCAGGATTAAGAATGTCAGTAGATTTGTCGCTGTAAACTGTATCAAACGCAAGAAATATGCAAAACTGTGATTTACTCGCGGTAAAGTAAATTTTTCTGAATATAGTGAGATACGTCAAATTCGCAAACAGTGATATAATTTTCAAAATTATTCCGTATTTCAGGAGAAAACTGCTAGTAACAAAGAAATTGTTTTTTTAAGTTTTTACCCAATTTTGGTGGCAACTCTAAACTTTGTTCATTCTCAAACTGATGCTTATTGCCAGTTACATTTTCCTTTCATTTTCTTCCCGAGTAAATTAACGCTTACGATTCTTATTATGTTTGAGTACGGTTACCATCTTTTTCAAACTGAAAAACAAAATTTTTAATTTTGGGAGAAGGGTAATATGATATAATTGCAAAAATGTATACATTTAAAATTAATATACAGAATAATTTACTTGAAATACATGAAATCAAACTATATCAATATGATTTTTCACGTTTGATCTTTTTCTATTACTTTGTACGTGCATTTATAAGTTTCTGGATGATGATCAAGTGATATTCGTGCGTACCAATTAATATTTCTTGAAAGTGTGCAATAATCGCACATGTTAGTACACAAATGCTTACGTAAGAGATAACTCTAAAGAAAAGTAACGTCAACCGCAAAAGGAGTTGAAACTAATATTGACAATCTCCGTTTAAATAAGTGGCACTGAAAAACTCTGTTTCATTGGTTGATGAAATTATTCTACAATAAATTTAATGACTATAAACTTTAATCACAAAGTTGATAATATCTTTCTCAACAGCTCGTTGCGAGTTATTTCTTTAAACCTCTCGGGTATACATACATACATACATACATTTATTAGAACTGCAATTGGGTATGACCCGGTGGCAGTTAATGTCCATATAATCTGCAAAAAGATTACAAATCCACTTACATTAATAATGATAATAATAATAATAATAATAATAATAATATAATTAATTAATAATAATAATAATAATACGTATAATAACAGTACAAGACGAAAAGCAGCATTGACAAAGAGCGTTGATCACGTTCAGCAGCACTTCACTTCACTTCACTTCACTTCACTTCACTACACTCACTACACTACATTTTTTTTTGCTTTGGATTACCTTTGAATTACACACTGACCAGCACTTCACAGCACTTCAACCGCACTACACAGCACATACTTTATTTAATATATTTTTCTAATTTGTTTCTAAAACTTCGGACACTGGAGTGAGGAAAAACTTTGAAAACTGCTGCAGGTAAACTGTTCCAATCTCTAATTGTTCTGTTACAAAAGGAATATGACAAAGATGATATCATGCATTCCCACATTCCCTATGCGAAGGTAATGTTCATCGGTGGAAAATTACAAAGTCCAAAGAGCTAATTTTGTACGATTTTAATTAATTTCAAAAATTATTTTAAATTATATTTTCTAACATCGTAATTGTGCAAGCACAAATTCAAAATTTTAACTATCGTATGAGGGAATCATTTTTCAATTCACATTGTAACTCTAAATATCGAATTGAGATTTAATGAAATTGCCAGATGAAATTATCATAGCTAATACCACGAGTGTTTTGGATAGATAAATCCCGATTCGCTAAGCGAGGAGGGAATCTATCTGAGAAATTCCAATGCGCAGTATTTAATAGGACTCTTCCAGGAATGAAATTAGGTCCAGCAGAGTTCAAAAATGAGCCAAATATTAATATTATATTAATGTACTTTATTCAATTACCTTTAATTTTTTCGCTAGTTCTACCATGGCCATCTGCTAATGTATAAGATGGTCAAGGTTAAACCCGCAGTCGATACGTAATCAAAAGCGTCATAAACAAATGAATATGTTGACGATGACACGAAATGTATGTTTATTTTGCTTTAAACAAACAAACAAACATTATCATTTAAAGTAACAAATATATATTCTTTCAGTGAAAAATACATATATTAAACAAGTTAAAATTAAATGTTAAAGAACTTCATTTTCATTGACAATCGTATTGGATTCTGAAACATGTGTTTGATGAATGTGTCTGTCTTAATTTATTTATGATTACCGAATGGCGTTGCTCATAGACTTTTAGGTAGGGCGTCAGTGATGATGTAGTAGCATCGTCTCCTATATTGTTTCAGTAGTATACATTCCTTTTGCGGTTCTCAAACGCAACCGACATTTATATATGAGGTTTATTTATGAGAGATATTTATATAAGAAAGAGAATTTCACGGGGACGTTGCGAATTGCACCTTGACTTCAAAAATATGAAGGACTTGTTTTAAAAAACGCATCTAAATATTCATGTCAAATATACTTTATATTCTTCTCTGAGTTTTGTGGAGCTTCACGATTTAATCGATTTGGTCGTCAGACGCGTCACCGAATCTCGCCATGTTATTACTACTGAAAATAACTGAAAGCGATGTTAAAATCAAAGAGGTTATACGCGGTTTATTGCACATAGCGGCTGATACCAACGAGTTATTAATACATATCTCCATGGTTGATACATACTGCCTCCTAAGATACATGGGTCGGAGCTTATCATTGGCCTGTAGGTAGGAGTAGTAAGAAAGATCGGATAGAAAAAGCGATAAAACTTCTGAGATACACTGTCCTAATTGGGGCTTATTATATGTGTAGTTAAACACTTGGTTTTAATTTCACGAGTGGAATATTCTCTGTAATACTCGTACGTACTATGCACATACAGGGAATGCCACCGACTCAGGACTACTCACACGAACTCTTAAACCGCTCGACGAACGGAAACGGAATTTTTGTCCAACTATGCTGCATGGCGAAAGTAGTATGAGAAGAATATATTGGGTGATATGAATAAAAATGAGAACGTACTCCAGAGCAATTGCTTACGAGTACAAGTAGAAACTACTACTTCTCACGAGCAATTGCTTCTTTTCATATGAATTAAAAGTTTTGTGAAACTTGGAGTATTTACTTCTATCTGTAAGCTTGCTCAGTACTAGCCTGTTACGACTGGTCGACTTTCGTCTGTTTTGTGGAAATTCTGTGGTTTAGCGGGTGACATGCTTTGACGAAGCTCACCGTGTTTATATTATAGCACGTGTTAGTCAGGCGTTAGTTGTGGTAGTTGTGATAGTTGAGTTGTGTTTCGAATTTTTAAATAGGAGTGATTATGATCGGTCGGTTGAGGAGGGTCCTGAAATCTACCATCAGCAAGACTTCGTTAGCATTTTGAAGGACTACAGAATTTTATTTGAAAAATCCCAACTGCCGTCATCAAGGCTGAAGAAGACCGAAGCACTTACTGAAACAGGCAGAAATATCGAGTGAGGTTTGGAAAAGAAATAAGACAATTATCCGAAATAAAAAGTTTTGCTGACTGGCAACAGAAAAATTAAGCTGAAGGAGTGGGAAAAATATTACTTTAAACTGATTAATGGAGATACTAATCCCACTGTGACGCGAATCGAAGGTAAAAATATGGAATAACTTCTATTCATTGATTCATTTATTATTTATAGAATACAATTAATTATTTCAATAGCATTTCAATTAGTAAATTACGAGTGAATTAAAAATACGTAATTTATACTTTATCAGGGGCAATAGAAGCTTGTGTTGCTTCAGTCAATGATGATGGTGGTGCAGATTTTACAAGTACATTACAAGAAAATGGTGCATCAACAAGTTCTAATTGATTCTTGAAGATGGAACTAGTTTGTACGAAGAGGTTACGCCTGTGGAAAGAAAAAGAAATGTGAACAGACTCTCTAATGACGATCTTCAAAGATTGGTATATATTCAGCAGTTGGAAGTTTTGCTATTAAAAGAAAGGAAATTGCAGTGGCATATTATATATATATATATATATATATATATATATATATATATATATATTATTTTTCATGAATATATTTTTTGCATTTCTTCATATTAGTATTTAATAAAAAATTTGCAATACGAATTGAATTAGCATGAGGAGAATGGGAACAAGTCAAAAATGCAATATTTTTTCTCATGTGTGGAAGTTGTTCTTTAATGCAAGGCAAATTGTTCTGTGAAGTAAGTCACGTCATAACAGTATTTAGACTATCATAGTCCTTGTGTGTGGACTTACATTGTTACAGCTCACATTCAATGGTACTCTCAACTTTCCTACTTAAACCATTTTTTTACCTTGTATTTCTGAGAAACCATCCTCTTTTCATTTTTAGCGACTCGCGCAAATTTCCTTGAACGATGGATTGAATGCGGGAGAGTGGGGGTATTAGTTAGGTACTTGGCCACTAGATTTTATGAAGCAATGCCAATCTCTGAAGAATCAGTCATGCCTTCGTAACGTTAATTTGCTTCTAACTTTCTCAGGAGTTCGAGGTATCTCCTATGATAGATCTTTACCTGCTTCGGTCATTTCTTTAGATTTTTTTCGAGAAAATAACGGATTAAAGTTCTCGCCTTCAAAAGAAAATTGTTTCTATTTCTCGTCAGTGAAGATGTGTTTGGAATGTCATCAGTACTCGCTGCGAGATTTTGCTTTCAACTGTTTATTGTGCCAGAGAGGGGGAAGCAAGGTCATTGTTCAAGAAAAGTTGCGCGATAATACCGAAAAGGATTGACAGCAAAACGTCCGTCCGTCTGAGAACAACACTAGTGGCAAAACTGTTCAGCCTATTCCCCCCCCCAAAAAAAAAAAATTGACATTCTCCGAACGATCTGGCTGATGTCATGCTCTCTTGAATTTGAAATCGATATTTTAATTTTGGGGGGTACTGGGACATTTTCAAAATTTTTCAAAAACTTGGTGCCATCGATTTTGATTAAGTTTTGTTGGAGGATAGTCTGAGGAAAGTTTAAGAGAACAGTGCAGGTCTCATTTTGGTTGGAAAATCTGATATTTTTAATATTTTGAAAAAAATCAAAATATTTTCGGCGTCTTCCCACAACTACAATTACGAAGATACATTTTTTTCTTAATGAAATGTGTTCAACAAAACCAGATTTTTAAGTAAGATCATGTTGAATCTTTCGAAAATATGGGTATTTTTTTTAATAATAGGGCGTCACAATTAGCCGCCTCCTCTGATACTCCTGCGCTTTTTGATCTTAATTTTAGACGTTTTGAGGCTGTTGGACGCTAGTAAATTAAGATGTGTGTATTATTGCATATTTAGTATTTATTTGTTATTATTTCATTGGAGCTTTTGTTACACATTAACAAATTAATCTTTTGGAAATTATTTAGAAATTATTTGAAATAAATATGATTGCTAGCCTGCATATAGTCGCTCGCTCCCAATGTACGCAGTTGCATGCTACTCCACTTACAATTTGTATATTCATATTTCATTTTATTATTATTATTATTATTATTATTATTATTATTATTATTAATATATTTATGTTATTTCATTTTAAATTGCGTCATTTAATTGTATTAAAATTGAAAATGAATAGGTGAGTGGACATTGTTGCCCGTTGTTGTATTGCCGCACAGATAATAGAGGCCGATAATAATGGGTGCTCTTCGTTAGCGGTACTGAAAATAAATAATAATAATAATAATAAATGAATATATTTGTAGAAGATTACAATACCATGGTGTTTAATAATTACTAATATATATTTTTCGATCAATTTGCATTCGTTTGTCAACGCGATCAGTATCGTATTATTTATTAACTTTTAATTATTTTACTTTCTCGTATTCTGCTTATTTTTCGCACCAAATGTTCAACGATATCAAATAGTTACAAAAAATAATTCGGAAAGAAATTATGGTATAAATAGTGTTACATACCCATTACTAATAGCGAAAAAGTACGTGTTGTTTTAAGATCAATAAAGCATAGATACCAAGCTTAGATACATTTTTCGGATACAGAAGATTAATGAAAATATATTTAACTGTTCATTCAGAATTGGTCGACAAGTTTTAATCATTTTGAGATTAGATATTGAATATACATATCGAAATCACTATCTTTTCGTCTGATGATGTGTTTCATTGTCCTGTATGGTTCGATGTAAAATGACAATTGTTTATTTTGCAAGATAAAATCACATTTATCTTTTATATTCGTTAAGATTTGGAAACTGATAAGTAAACAAGCCAATGGCATTACATGTCGCATAACCAGAGATGTGCTGCAAGGAATTTGAAAGGGCACTATAGCATGTAGAGTAGTGGCGCCAAGAGAAATAGTACGCCTAGGGCAGTAGATTCATGGACACTCCTTATTTCAGACGGTTGGAGATAAAATTTTCCAATGGAAAATATCTATTTAACAAATGTCCATCTATAGAAATGTACAAATTACATAAACGTCGATTTAAATAAATGTCCAGGGTAAACAATGTCCAATTTATTATATTTCCTTAAGGTTTATTACTAAAAGGTCTATAATACAGAAATGTCCATCAATTAAGTTCTCCTTTCTGCTTGTAAATTAAGTTTTAAATTACATGATATACTACACAGGTGACTTCAACATTATTGTTTTGCACTCATTGTACCTGTACACTATCTTTTGTTCATTGTTGACATTTCTTCTAAAGTTGTAAGGTCTTACCAGAACTCCATTTTCTATTCATCCTATGACGTCCCATTCATTTTGAGACCATTTTTACTTCAAAAGTGGTACATATACTTACGTATCATTTATTAATATGTATTTATTTTGACAAATAATGATTCCGAGTCATTTAACCACTAAACTAGCAAGGATTTTTAAAACATTTAGAACTAATTTGCTTGCCTCTAATTTGCAACGTCAATAATACATCACTACTGTTCAATGTAAATATCTCCTTTTATTACAGTGTGAATGCATTTTTATATCACAGAAAAAAATGTTTGGACATTTTCGTTTGTTGGTCATTTTGTATTGCACATTTTTATTAGCGGTCGTTTCTGGCTATGGACATTTTGTAGTGGAGATTTTTACCTGTCTACCTTCCACACAAATGTATAACCCCTTTCTTATTTATATGGGTTTGAAGTATACTAAAATTATACACATATATATGTGCGTGTGTGTATGTGTGCGATCCCTGATTTCTGGCGGAAAGCGATGGAAAGGCGTCCCGGTACCTAGGGAACAAAAGAGTAGAGACAAGCAAGAAGCAGATAATAAACAAAATACTCGTGGCAACTTCAACTGTAAGTTCGAGCAACTATCGTAAACCAAAACCAATTTCCAATTAACTCTATTATTACTAGTATATAATAAAATTATTAGTAAACAACTGGCAGTACAGAATATCACAGGATTTCTCTTACTAGTTAGTTTTCAAATTTATTTGGTGTGGATTAGCTTTTCGGTCTTGCCCCGCTGTCTTCCTAGCTGTTATCTATCGCCCCCTCCCCAAACTTCATTTTTAATTTCTTCTTCTTCTTCTTCTTCTTCTTCAATTTTTAGGTCCCATAATGGTTGAACTGAAACATGACTAAGAATCTTATGAAAGAGTAATACTTTTTCACTTTCGTTGAAAAATTTGGAGCCCTTTTTTTGAGAAAACTTAATTTGAGTAATCCAAAAATGCACACTTTGAAGTTCATTTTCACCCCAAACATTTGAGATTTCTAGAAAATTCTTTAGAAATTATTTAAAATACGAACTCCCGAAGAATGTACTCACAAATACAATCATGGACACAAACTGCTCGTAATGTAAATATTAATGAAGTGAGAGATATTAAAAAATACATTTGTGTAATATTTGAAGAAACACAAGAATACATCAAAGTGGCATTGATGCCATGTTGTTTAGTCCATTTAGCACTATCCGTTAAAAAAAATAATTTTGCAGCAGTTTTCGAAAAAATGTCATTTGAACGTTTCTGAAATCGTGGAATTTTGATTCATTTTCACCAAAAACTTTAGTTTTCAGGAACATTTATTGAAGCACATGAACTCATAAATCCAATAATGTACACAAATTGCCGATAATATAAATATTTACGACGTGTGTGAGAAGTAAAACAAACATTTGTGTTATTTTTGAAAAAACAAAAAAAAAAGAGCAAAGTGTTACGTTACAGTGCATTTAGTACTATTCCTACTAAAAGTTTAATGAAAAAATGGAACCTTTCTTCGAGAAATTTTGGTTTTTGATAATTTTTATATTTTACTCAATATTGCGCGAAAACTACTAAAAAATTGTCAAAAAATATACATGACGTTAATGAAAGAACTATTGAGACCCAATTTCATTTGAAGAAAAATCTTTAATACATCATTTCCAGAGATTTCTATACATTGTTGCACTTGTGGAGATGTACTGTTTCAAATTATTTTCAACGAAGCTTCTAGAAAACACGAAAATTGTCTATAGAAAAGAGTTTCAAATTTCGCATTTACAATGCATATAATTTTCTTAAAAAGAAAGCTCGAAAGTTTTCAATAGAAATTTCCATACAATACAAGACGAGACTCTTCTATAATATTCTTAAAGTAATATTTGGAATCGACCATTAGGAAACCGAAAAATTGAGAAAAGTTTTAAAAAAATTTGCTTTAGGTGGCGATAGAAGGCAGCTGGCAAGAGAATAAGGCAAGGCCGAATAGCTAACCCATACCAAAGAAATTAGAAAAGTAACTAGTACGAGAAAGTCTGTGCCATTCTGTTGCATCACTATAGCTTTTTTTATAGTTTATGTATTATTGTTACATTCACATAGAGCAAGTGCTATCATTGTTCTTAATTAGTATTTAACTATTTTTTAAATTTATTTTTATTTCTACAGAGTTGAGAACAAAGCAATGTCAGTATAAACGGGAAGTGTAGTAAAAGGCAAAAAAAGGAATGTTATATATATATATATATATATATATATATATATATATATATAATGTTAAAAGCAAAGGAGAGAGTGTGAATCCTTGAGGTATCCCTGATACTATTGGTCGTTGTGAAGAAAGAGATGTATGAATTTTAACGACAAAAAGGAGGTCAGTAAGAAAGTTTTTAATGTGTTGAATAGATGTAACGTGGTGCCAATATCTTGTAGCTAGTAGAGAAGTCCTTGATGCAAGTGAAAAATCACTAACCAATCATCCTCAACTGATTTACCAGACAAGAGTGTATGACCACATCTACTCTGTTCTATTTCGAAAAAAATGTACTTTATGGCTGTTGAATAGCACAGATGGAAATACACTCAGGTCAAAATCTGAGATTGTCTTTCTAGTAATTTGGATGTAGAGCCAAGCTGTTCATCCAGAATGCCAAAGACAGTTTCGATTATGGCTTTAGCCAATTTAAGCGTTGGTTATTTGTGTATGTACTAGAATGCGCACGTGTCGGATTCCATACCCACGACTGCATACATGCTTACGTAACATCTTTGCATTGGTTCGGTCCAAGATGGTGAACTATTGCTGTAGATTCGGAGTAAGTAGAGGTGTAATGATTGCATCGCTAACACGTCTAAATAAGAAAATTGCTCACATAAGACCGCCCGATGATCTCGCTTGAACCATTTCAAAAGGTTGATGCGTAGTGACCCTGAAGTGTAATTACCCTGTGGATAAGAATGTGCACATTTAAGATGATATCCGTGAGTTAAGAAGAACATTTTATTTATTTATTTAGTTGTTTTATAATGTATTACAATACATGTTCAGCATTTTAACCAACTGCTGGGATGCTTAAAAAATTAATGGTGAACAAATGTAAGAACTGAATAACATTGTTTCATCATTGTCAGGTGTTATGTCGCAAATATGTGTTTAAGTACATACATGTTTATTACACCTATATAAGTATATTCATTATCAAGTAAATAGTCGTAATTCATATTTTTATATAATAAATATATTGGTGTTTGCTGTAAAATATATATTCATAAAAATTTAATAATATTTTTCGTATTTCCAAACCATCGCATATATTTTAAATATAAAATAATAATTATTTGAATTTGGTGTTTTTTGACGTTTTGGTGACTTTCCCTGCGCTTTTTAGTGGGCAATGATTAAGACCACTTTGCAACAATGGGTCGCAGGGAAAAAGTGAAATAATGAAAAGTGATGAAAGAAAAACAGCTATGAAAGTATTCGAGCGCTTAAATGGAAAACATCCAAAACGCAGTCAATAATTGTCAATGAACGTCTGCAGAGCAACAGACATCAGCCGATTTTCCTTCTTTGGAATAAAAAAGGAAAACAAGAATTGGGCGATACGTCGCAAATTCAATGCATTTCTATTTAAAAATATTCCTGGAGTAATCCAGTGTGAAATGAAAAATGTTAATGTCAAAGATTTACCAAATTTCAAATACTCTACATTTTATCGCCTATTGAAAGAAATTGAATTTGAATTTCAACAACAAGGGAAAAGGCTCTAATGATAGAAATTATATAACACAGTGGCGACGTTCATATCTACGAAAATTGTGACAGTTTAGAAATGAGAAAAGGAACTTAAAAGTTGGCATTATGAAAATAATATGCAAAAATTAATAACTGGGGAATTATTTCATGAATAACTGAATGAATGTGCATGAAAATAATACATTAACACAACTCGCCTTTCATCAACCAATTTTCACATATCTCTAAATGAATTGTATTGAATTGTAATAAAGAAATAGTATTTTTAAATGTTAAAAATTAATCTCATGGATTTCAGCCTAAATCGACTTGGTGATGTATTTCATTTCGTGAATTTTATGGCTTCTAACTGAAATAAATGTATATTGTACCTCGAACCACCTTTTGAAAAAGGGAGAGTTATCCTCACATTTAGGAAAAATTGTTATTTTTTAGCGGCTCTAAGCGTAAGAAAATTGATATCCGTAACTGCTGTCATTGTAGCAATGCGATGAAAAGAGTTTAGTGAGAGCGGAAATAATAGTAGTATATAATTTGCAATATAATTATTAGAATTTTAAGTCATTGTTAGCAATACTTCTAGATATTCCGTTGTGTAGCATGACCGAGTGCACCATTTTGTAGCATTACTAGTTTTATTTTCTCCCCAAAACTATTTGTATAATTAATTAGAGGTCTGTACAACTGGGCCTCTTTATTTAAGGGATTAACTATGTTCTTTTGCGCATTGCAAGTCGTAATCAATATAGAGGCGGAGATAGATCAGTGGCGCAGTGAGATGGAGCTAGGTCGAATTCAACTACGGCATAGAGGCGTTTCTAGTGATCGGTTGTTTTCATTGGTAGTTTCTCATGATTTTTCTGTCGAATGTTGGTGTAGTGTTTGAACAAACTGGTCATAGATCGTGCGCCCTTTTCTTCCTTATTCTTAACACATATACTCTCCTTTTACACACACACATACACACACATTTCCACTTACTCGCTCTACCCTACTACACATATCGGGAGAGCAACGAGAAATTACAGCTAGACCCGGCTGGGGCGGTGCCCCGCTGGGGAGATACCCGAAGAGGGAAAACCCTCACCGGAGTAGATTATCTTCCAGAGGGTTAATAGCACTCGGGATATCACTACTCTTATGGGCAGAACCACTAATCAGGCAATGCCATTCAAGTGTCTGGTGCGTGTGCAGATGGCGCCGGAGGAGGGCCCGCACCTGGCGGGCGCCGTGGGGCCGTGCGTGGGGCTGGCGCCGCTGCCGCTGCCGGCCGCGTGGGCGGAGCGCGCCCGCAGGGAGGTCCACGAGCAGCCCGCCGCCGCCGCCCGCAACGTCGCCGCCCTCCGGCAGCGCTTGCTCGGTGAGGCACGTTCACTTATCGATCGTCTGCACACGGCCGTTTCAGGTGACGAAAAGATTACCCCAGCGTGTTCCTCGTAATATTAACAATAAATAAGCTGTAGCTAATTGACTGTGCGGGAGACGCCGGGGCCTAGACACAGGTGCCAACGTTTCGGCCGCCGCTCTGCGTCCTTCCTCAGGGCAAAATGATGCACTTCGCCCTGACGAAGGTGACAGAATGGTGGCTAAAACGTTGGCACCACCGCTTAGGACGCGAAGCCTCCCACAACAGTATTTTACGAGCCTAGGTTGTATCGCTCCCGAGTTATGCACTAGTTTCTACAGCGTTACTATGGCTTAATGGCTATGGCTTAATGAACTTAAAAATATAATGCACCACATAATTATAAACACTCAGATTGTTTTGTGAAGGGACACAAGTATTAATCGATTGCTGGACATTTCTTTTATATTTTACTCGCTTTTTTTTCATTTAAAGACGCTCAATATTCGAACCCAAAAAGCTCTCTATTTTAGCTTTTCTAGCAATAACCTCGCAAAATATCGACTGTCTTTGATAGATCAATTGTATGTTGCACTTGTAGGAGTTGTTTTGTAACGGGTCGGCCAAGCATTGCTATATTTCAACTTTATCAAATAGTCGGTCTTGAATAAGACGTGATATTAAATGAGGCAGACTAGCGTGAATACTATTAATTTTAAGTTATTATTAATATTTAGTTTAAACTACAAAACCTATAAGAGTAAGACAACTCATCTAGAAACTACTAACTTTTAAAGTAAAAATCACAAAAATTGGTTGAGTAGAAAACTCAAATTTCTTTTTAAACGAACAACCTTATTTTGTTAAATAGTATATAGATTATAGTATGAATGGAACACCATTTCGTTACTTTAGATCCGGATCGAAAGGATACTATTAACTCTGAGAAGGGCAATATAGCATTCTAAATCACTCCTATCCTGTTTTTCATTTGCAAGGATTATCGTCTTTGACTTTCATTGCTTTTCGTTTCTTAGAGGAGAGAAACCTTCACGCCCGCACGGATGACACGTTCCTGCTGGCTTTCCTGCGAGCTCGCAAGCACAACGTGGAAGAAGCCCTGAAAGTGGTGAGTTCATCTACAAAAGAATACGTACTATGAATTTGCATATAATTTTTAGAAAGTCATTCTTATGACAATCAAAGGTAAAAAGACGATGTAATGTGTGACGAAAAAGAAGAGGGAGAGTTCAAGGGTGTGGCTGCATCTCTAGCATTAAGCACGTGTGGACGGAAGAACACACAGAGGAAGAAGACACAGAGGAAGAAAACATCAAATAGTTTTTATCTTTTAAACAAAACCTCGGTGTTCGGCGACATTTTATGCTAAATTTATGAATGATTTAATTTTTCAACAAAATGATTTTAAAATATATAAATGCGAAATTCAGCCATGTATTTGTAGCGAAGGGTAACTTGTGTGGTGGTGTAATAATTTGGGACAGGATCCAAGTTTCCAAACAACTTCGCTGAGTCGAACAAAAACGTCTACACCTTAAAAGGAAGGAAAGGAAAAAAAGGCTTACATGATTTTTGTTCGGGTTTTTTTACAACTTCGTACAGAGATAATTCAGATTAATTACTGAACATGTAACTCAACATGAATAGTTCCCCACAATTTTTGTGAAAGTATAAAACGAAATAAAACTTCATAACATTTTCAGCGATTGGCATGTATATTGATGCTACGTGGGCCAAGCGCATTATAAGAATAAAATAAAATTAGTAACAGATATACCAATAAGGTGCACAATGCTTGTTAGATTTGTATAGACCTAAAGTATTTCTTACTTTTGCAGCTGAAGAATTTCTATAGACTGAAAATCAAATACCCCCTGTTCACCGAAGACTGCCTGCCCTCTGAAAAGCCCTTCGTGTACGATATGAATGGCTACACGATTTTTGAGGAGCGCGACCAATTAGACCGCACCATCATCGCAATACGCGTCGGTGAGTAACGCTGAGTTTGTTAAGAAGAAGAAGAAGAAAGTCGTTCATTAGAAGAATAGTGAAAATTCCCACCTTTAAGTTTTTAGAGTAAGTAATTGGAAGTGCTTTGGGAGAAATATTTTACAATAAGCATTATATGAGACCACCTTTTTTGAGGGACTTAACACAAACTCTTGTCTCAGAAATTGAATGTTTGAACTTCTTCAAACTGTAGGCCTAGAGGTCTGGGGAGAATATATCTGTCCGGCTGCACAGCTATAGGCGCGAGAAACACTGATGTTTATGGATAGATTGATGACATCACATTGTCAAACATCTTTTATTGTAAGAAATTAACTCCTACAAAAGAGGAACAATTCGACGGTATATAAGAGAAGCTTGCTAAGTACAAAAAGATTTTGAGATAAAATTGAACATTCTGTTCAACTTGTGTGTTTGGTACAATTTCCTAAAACATGGGTTAATAAGTAATGTTGTTTTTGAGAAACAAAAAAAATCAGACTCAATATTTCTTCTATATACCTGCATTGTTTCGTAAATAATTGAAAAAATTAAATAACCGATAATGTAGCCTGAGAAAGACTCCCTTGTCAAAATAAAAGAAAAACTGTGTTAGCTATGTTAATCACTAAAAAAAACAACAAAAAATGTCCATAGTGTGTTTCTCTTGTATACAGATAAATAAGTTATTTTCCTTTTTTGTCAATACTTCCCAACATCCTGTAACTATTCTTCTTACAAACCAAGTATTAGTAGCTATCCCTGAACTTTCAACTGTGTACACAAGTCTGTAAATTCCACATGAGAACATTCTTGAGAACTCGCAGATGTATTATGCAATGCGTAACGGTCATGTTGAGGACACGCTGTGAATAATTAATATTTAACCAATTAAAAACATTTTAAGAAGTTTTAAAGTTCATTAATCATGCAACTTGTGTTTCGAAAAAAATGGTTATTTATCAACATGTAAGATAAGAGACTCTTGTGTACTTGTAATAAACTCATAGTAAACAGTCAATATCTTGGCAAGGTTAACGAAACTGTGTGAAAGTGATAATAAATAATAATAATAATAATAATAATAATAATAATAATAATAATAATAATAATAATAATAATAGAAGTATGTGACTGCATCATCACGGGATTCTCAAAGTGCTTTTTACATATTCCTGATTCTACATATCTCCTTTCAGCGAGAAAAAATATTCTTGGAGTTGTTTCAAGGTTGTACCCGACAACCAAGTTACATTATCACCTAACTGCAGAAGGAAAACGTCAATTTTTTTTCTAACCTGAATGCTAGCTTGCCTGCGTAGCTGCCACTTCCAGTTGAAAAAATACACAGGTTCCCGATTCCCACAACACCTGAACCGTCCTTCAAGATTTATTTATCTTTCGTGGCATCAAACTACACGGCGTTGCCTTGCTGTTTATTTGTATTTGACGAGAATGAGAGTGACAGTTACCAATAAAGTAAAATTGAAATCGTCTTGTTTCCGTAATCCTATACTGTTTAAATTGACACCAAACTCTAGACTGAAAAGCCGCTCTTAGTGACCGGCGTACGATAAAGATTTTAATGTATACGGCCTGTTAAGAACAATGAAAACAAATTAGTTGTAATAGCTAAAGATGACGACTTCTGATATGCCACGATAGCGTATTTATGTATTTGTTGTTTTATCGATAAGGTGATGTTCCGAATTGTAACGACCCAGAGGCGATATCTTAAATAACGGACTTGCTTGAATACAAAGTCTGCTATCAACACGGTTAACAAATTTCAAGCACGTTCGTTGTATGCTGTCATCGTCCTAATGACGTGAATAAAGAAAGCAACTCCGCCCCTGCTCTGTTGTGTCCACTTTTGTAGTTTGCCTTCTCCCCCGCACCGCCCGCAGCGTTGCCCCACACGTAAGGCATAGATGCACTTTCGTATCTTCACAGGATTCATTCTGAAAATGTTTTCCTATAATGGTTACATACAAGAATAAACATACATTCCAAATTTCACGTTTCTGGCTTAAGTAATTTTGCTAATTTTACTAGTGCTTACACTAGTCCAGTTCTGTCTGTTTCCGAAAACGAATCAACAGAGAAGCACAATTAATCATATTAGAAAACACCTGCGTAAACACTCGAAGATTTAAGGTAATGGAAATTTGGTATATTGGTGTATTTCTAAGATATTTATGAAAGAAAATTTTCATCATCAAAATTATTGAGCAGCATTTTTATTTTGTCATTTAGACCTTTTCACTAGCGTCCTGACATAGTAATTTATGAATCAAGGTTGTGAAGCGGTACTTTTGCGAACTTGGTTGATAGTACTATTCCGAGGTCGAAAAAGTGGCTGCCAAGGTATATGCAGTATTTGTTTTGCTCTCACCTATGATTTAAATTTCTCCAAGTAAAACTAAAGAGGGACGTAAGTCATACTTCCACTAGAGTGCAGTTACAGAATATGCAACAGACTGTTTCAGTTCTCAGGATCGCTAAAAATTGTTTTTATTTAGAGTATTTTGTGGGTTTACATGCTTCACTTTACCGTCTTGGGAGATAAATTACACCCTCTTCGAAAGTACGCCCACGCTGTGGATAAATATTCTGTGACATCAAACTACTGGGGTGAGGGTGCGAAACATATATCTTTAACACGCAGTGCCCGAAAAAGCAGGACAGATCGCGCTTCGCGCATGGTGTGTTAAAAAATAGTACACGCAACACGGGCGCGAGGTGATTCTCACACACTCTCTCGTCTCTTTGTCGTCCTCGCTTCGCTCAGACAACAAACTTGACTCGTGCGTGAATCCCCTGTTTCGCGCCCTTGTTTCGTAAACTACTAGTTACTACTCTCATTGTATTATTCTGTCTTTTGATGGCTGCAACACGTTGCATAATTATACTAATGATACTAATTAACTATGATACTAATTGCGATACAGATTTCATTATGATAAAGGTTCTTGACCAATCACGGAGAAGTTCACAAACCAAGTACTGATAATTAATCATTGAAAGTCGTTATATCAATTGTTCCATTCGATCGTGTGTATTAAAATTGCATTTAATAATATATTATGCTTCTCAGTTTGGATTTTCTTTTATTATTAATAATTTTGTACGTGAAATATTTAAAACAAATATTTAAATATTTAATATTTCGTACTTTCACTTAAAACCAATTTGACTAGGGCAGTGGTAGTTATTGACGAAAACATTTAACTGTAGTTAAGACCTGAATGCGTCATTTTGTGTTATACAAATGTTGCTCCCGTGTGTTTCTCCTAAAAAATGTTTAGTAAATCAAAGTAAATGTCTGGAGTTGACCCCTTCAGAAATAAGAGAAAAAGCGAAAAGCAAAAATGGACGTCGGCATTATTGCCGCAACTTTTGTACTCCCTTGCAGGCGGTCTGGTAAAACAAAGCCACCTACGGTGGGAAGGGTACGGAGAAGTCCGCTAGGTGGCCTAGACTGGATCCTGTATGTCAATTGCCACAAAACGATTAATGTAAAAGTTCAAATTATAAAAGTTACCATTAGTCGTAGAGAAAGCACCGTATAAAACTCAATGTAATTGGTATTAATTTACGAGTATCGTAAACTTTCCACAAGTGTATGTAATACCCAGCATTATATAACCGTTTCATAATATGATAATTAGGCATTAGTAGTTGTTTTAAAATTGTTAATTTAATATGTACTGAATATACAATCCAGACTGGATAACACGCTTCAAATACGTATTATACAGCACTAGCATACCCGTGCGAGAACTCGCATATTAATTCCCACCCTTTCCCTATTCTTTCAATTAAGAAGCAAAGCTGTTAATGAAACGTGTTTATTTGTTTAAAAAATGTATAAAAGTAACTTCCAATGTACTAACACAATATCAAAAATAAAAAAATGTAATTGATGTGGAAATTACATTTTCAGTAATGATTTATTCAGTATGATCGAGAGATTTCTTGAACAATTCACAACACTTCCTTAAAAATATTTGAAATAATTATTCAATATTCTTTGACAGTTAGCTTCTCACTTTTCGTGATAGTTGTACACCCACATCCCTACCCAATTAGGTGCAAACTGTCAGTCTGCACAAACCACGGAGTATACAGAAAGTGTAAATAGTATAAGATAGAGGAATCTAAGCCTTCTAAGAGTGACATCGCAAAGATGCCCACCAGCACCAAGGGTTGGAATCTAGATGGCAATAATAGTATCAATTAGCCTCGAACCAGCAAAAAATTAATAGAATGTCCAAGAATATCTCTTCTTGTAGATTATGGCGTGAGAAACGTTTCTTAGAGATCTTTGGCATCGAAAGTTTAGTTTTTAAGACCCTATATAGCTTCGTTTAGGTGTTATTTAACAATATAGCTTACAGTGATGCGGGTTGCATTTGACTTGAATATTTAGATACGTTGTTTAAACAATTCCTTCATATTTTTAAAGTCAACGTGCAATTCTTTGTGTCTCCGTGAAATTCTCTTTCTTTAGAGACCTCGTTTATAAAGATCGGTTGCGTGTGAGAGCCGCAAAAGGTATGTATACTACTGAAATAATATAGGAGACGATGTTTCTGCTCTGCTTAGGAAGAAGTGTCTCCTAACCCTCACCACAATATTTGTTGTTGTTTTTGTTTTTGTTGTTGTTTTTGTTGTTGTTATTGTTGTTGTTGTTGAGTTTTAAATTAATCATGGTAATGAGATGTGAAAATTCAAGTCACAGTTTGCCATATACATAAACGAATCGAGTTAAGGTAGAATATTTTTAAAGAAAACTGAAACAAAAGTTTAATAGATGACATGAATTTCATTTTAAAAAATTAAAAAGAAATAATTTCGACGGATTAGGTTTTAAATGACGGATGTTTCTAGAATTGGTAAAGACAGACGCAAAATTATTGCAGAAGTGTTATTTAGGAAGCGAGAAGTATTATTTCATGATTTTCCCGTGTGTGTGACTTTTCGCAGAAGATGTGGATTTGACGCTGGTGTCCGCGGAGCACTTCTTCCAGCAGCTGTGGACGGCGCACCAACTGGTGGTGCAGGACCCGCTGGTGCAAGTGGCGGGCGTGGTGCTGATAGTGGACATGCGGGGCTTCTCTCTGCGCCACGCGCGCATCGTCACGCCCAGCTTCGCGCGCATCGCCATGCGCTTCGTGCAGGTGAAAGCACGCGCGTGCCCCCTCCCCCTCCTGTGCCGGACCGCTCCTACGGTCGCGAATCCACCCACGCGGGGCCGCGCGCTTTCGTTTGAGCGGTTTAGGATTGCGGCGCAACAGGGCGTTTCGAGTGCTGGACACGGTCGGTTCGTGTTGGGTCGTCGGATTGAGTGAGGGATCGAGACGAGCTGAGGCGGGCCTTGTCGGGTTGGGAAGAGGCTGGACGGGGGTGAGGGACAAAAGCAGAGCGGATCAGGGAGGGCGGAGCGCGGCAAGGAGGTACGGGTGATGGCGAGGTGGACCAAAGGTGACATTCTGTATCTTACATCTTTTCGGAAAGTATGTCTAGGCATTTGCAAAAGGTTACATTATACAAATAATAATATAAGCGCACAGGGCATTTTAAAACGTTTTATAATAAAAAATCTTATAGTTTTTGAAATCATTTGTTTGTACATATATTTAATTTTCCCTGTTGATAATTCAGGTTTGGAAATCTAACTGTATGTGAATCCTGTTCCTTTTTAGGATTTAGATTCAACATTAACATTTTAATAATATGTTAAATTATCCTTCTGGGTCTATTTTCCTGCACATTACTTGAAATATACCAATGTTGACTACATTCATCTAAGACTAATAGACAGATAAAGCAATTAATTTCATCAATAATATAAAATACAATCAATTTTATTTACATGGTCGTTACGCTCCGCTTTTCTCGGTGCGGCCCGCCCTGCCGTGTCCCACGACCCGATCCGATCCGATCCGACCAGTCTTACACCGATCCCACCAGCCAAACAGTGAATATTCAACACAAAAACTCTTATTGCCAGCCCTCGTAACGCAAAAGTAGATAAATCCAGTTTCTAGAATAGAAAAAAATCCTCTAACACGTGGTGTGGCCAGAATCCATATTTTGTGCGTCCTTCATACCGAAAAATCGATTGACGGAAAAAACGTCTGTCTGTGCACAACGCTGGCTCCTTAACAGTTCAGCCAATTTTTTTCCAAAATTGATATTTTCTGGCTTTCTTTCTTTAAATTTCCTTCACAACAAGAGACAGTAAAATATATGGTGCTAGTTCCCTTTTCAAATATTGCTCTTTGTTATTTAAAATTGCAAAAAAAAACAACAACTAAGCTAACAAATTGAAGATAGAGATTTTTTGTCTCAGTCAATCTGTTACATAAAATTAGCTCATAGAAAAAGTTCAAGTACATTTTTTGTAAAATTTAGTAGATTTTGTGTAATTTCGGTTTGAAATTAATAAAACATATAATACTGGCGTCCCGTCGTACATGACGATAACATTGTAATATTGCGAGAAAGTAGTATCGCTGTAGTACTACTAAGTTTTATTTCTAATGCATAAATCTTGGTTGAGAAAGTCATGGAGACATGTAATTTACTTGTATCAATAGTACAATTGTCGTTGGATTTATTTAGAAGTTCATGACTTACGGAATTTCAATACCTAATCAGGAACTTTTGTCTTCAACATGTAAAAAAAATGACATTGCAGGTTCAGTTTGTAATTTGACACATACGTTACAATATTACGTGATATGACTATGTGCATTCACATCAAACATGATTCATATGAAGAAACAGTTGATTGAAATGTGTTTCTTTGATAGTACATTGGAATATTTCAGTATCGAAAATCCTTTTAAAAAAATCTCTTTGTCAGTGATATCCCAGTGATATACACTGTATACGTACGTACATACATACACACATATACAGTCGTACTTATCCTCAAGTTATTGATTTACAGAGTTTCAAAACCAAACCAAAACTTTACCGTGTCCTTACGGGCATTCTATTAATCTGTTTACAGGATTACGGGATTTACACATGGAACAATGCATCTATCAGGTTAAACAGGTTTCTAAAAATGTATTTGATATGAAGTTTTACGTAGATTTCCACATGTATGTTGTAGTGGACTATGGTATGATATGCTATCTACCTTAAATTAAAAACGCAATGCGTCTCTTATAAACACTGAAAAGGTTTTGTAAAGGCACATAGTATGTGTTAAATGATTGCTGGACATTGCGTCTATTTGTACACACCCACTAACCTCTGCATTTAAAAAGTCACTCTTCGAACTTAAACTCTCGCTATCTTCACTTTGACAGAGTTCAGGGTTTGACCTTTTTACCGGCAAGATGTTGCAGGAAATGCCAAGTAAAGGATATTAACTCGTAACAAGCATATTCAACGCGATACTTCGAAATAGCCATTATCCTTGTCAATGGAAATTACGCGCAAATAATTGCGATAGTGAACCAGGAAAGACTGCCACGGAAGTTACATACGTACCGACCTATTAGCCTGCTACCAGTCCTATCAAAAGTATTGAAAAACTTATCTACAGCGCCTCAAGCCTATAATTAAGAAGTGATTCCTGACTTTCAATTCGGTTTTCGAGAGGGACACTCACAATAGAACAGACCCATCGTATTGTAAACACAATTTCTCAAAGCCTGGAAAAAAAAGCTATATTGTTCTGCAGCATTCCTAGACATACAACAAGCATTCGACAAGGTATGGTATGAAGGAATCTATTTTAAAATTTTAAAAAAAAACTTCTCCCGCACTCTACTATTTACTTCTCAATTCATATCTTTGCGATCGCCTATTTCAAGTGAAATATCAGAAACGCTCTATCGGAATTCCAACCTATTTCTGCAAGAGTGCCACAAGGAAATTATTCTTGGACCTTTTATATTCTTATATCAACTTCATTACCAACAACAGAAAGAACTACAATACCACCTTGTAGACGACAGAGCTATTCTTTGTGCAAATGAAGACCCTCCTGCGCATCACAACATCTACAGAACATCTAAACAAATCGAAGATTGGAGTCATCGTTGGCGAGTCACCGTAAATGAAACAAAATCAAAACTTTCATTTTCACTAAGAAAAGAAAATTGCCAAAAGTAAAAACTAAGCAACACAGAACTCCACGAAGCTGATACAATCAAATATCTTGGACTGCAATTTGGATAGGACGCCTCACTTGGAAAACTCACGTCAAAACTAAGAGAAAAGAAGCGCAGCTTAAAGTCCTCAAATTTGTCCATGGCTAATAACAGACAATCAAAGCTGCCTTGCATAACAAAATACTGATTTAAAAACTATAATTAAACAAACATAGACCTATGGTATTGAATTGTGGGCTCTTCCAGTAAATCGAATCTAGAAATTCTAAAAGATTCGAAGCTAAAACACTAAGAAAACTATGCAACGCACCATGGTACGTGACAAACAAGACGATATACAGAGACCTCGACATCGTCCCGCTGGAGAAGTAATCACACGAAGAGCATAGCATACCAGAGAAGATTGGTACAACCACCCCAAATCACCTCTCAACAAGCCTTCTAGATACAGTGAGCATGTGTATAGACTTGAGGAGAGAGAGTATTTTAGATCTGCCCATACGATTTTGTAAATGAAATTTTTTAATGTCATAAAACGTTCACGTCGGAAATGTATCTGTTGATACCATTTGCTTATTGTTCCGATAGGAACAGATTTAAATTATGCAGAAAAAAAATCTTCACTTTGACAAGCTGTAACCTCATGATGCAAGGAAGTTGATCTTGAAAATAATGTAATGAACACTTGACAGAGAGTTGATTTTATTAATTTTAATATATTATTAAAATTTACTGACTTGTCTATAAATCTAGTTATTACGAGCAAATGATAGCATATCTAGAACTCACTGCCGGTCGTTGAAGATAACCGTCATCTGTGGTGAGTTTTACAGAGTTGTTTATATTGCGAAAGAAATGAAGATTTACCAATCTAAATATTACCCCGTGAAAAAACAAAAAACGCGAATTTGAATTCAACACTCAAAATTTATAGTTTTTGATCACCTCATCGTTGAAAATGGCAAATATTGATTTTCGACCCTTCTAATGACACGCCGTTTTACTACATACCCTAATACGATTGGAGAAAACTCTTTGGAAGAGTTTCTTATCCATCGAAATTTAGTATATTGTAACAGTTTTTCTTTGTGAATGTTAAAATTGGTAAAGAAAATTCAAGCATGATGTGTTGTTTTTAGTGTATAAACATTTTCAGCAAAAAGAACAACGTAAAATAAAAAAGTATATAAATGTTACTTTTTTCGCGACTACCCTACGATAGTATTAATGATTATTAAAACAAGTTTCGAGGGGCAGCCAGAGCGACTTCAGGCAGAGTAAGCATCAGCTCAGTGTTAGTTGCCCTGCCTGCCCCCCCCCCGCGCAATTTCGACATATAGGAGATAAGGAACTTTGTCGCTGATGTTTATTTATGAAGTACATGCCATGAAGTTTAACCAAATTAACTCATGACAAAACAAGCTTGGCTAACCGAAATTTATTCATAATTTGTCAAACTCTAAGAATGTGTTGATATTTCTACCTTCTACAGCCTCAGAACTCTCAGTGGACGTTCCTAGTTATGCATTTCAGAGTTAAGTTTTTATTATAAATTGTCTTTATTGTCTAATTGTCCTATTAGTTGGGAGAATACGTGCGAGCAACAAATAAAAAGATGGAAGGTAGAATGGAATTAGTCAGTCAACAGAACTGAACGTCGTTTAAGTTAGGATGAACTTTTCATTTTCTTTTTAGAAAAAAATTCAAGATATTGTAGAAGAAATTTTTTTATTATTAATATAATAAAATTAAGTAATGAAAAAATATTTTGTAAAATTAGTTAGGGCCAGCGCACTTCAGAATATTTTAGTACGCCTTTTTAGCAATTTAGTAAATATTAAAAGCAGTATTGTTATTTAATATTCCAGTTATACCACTCGTGTGTTTTTCTTTTAAAGTGTTTTAATATTATGTATTTTGAATGTGTTGCAAACTGTCCGATGTTGCCAATATTATATCAATGGAGAATAACATCGCCATATTTGGAACGAGAGTAGTGAATTATTTCTAACGATTTTTTTCCCATGTTCATCAGATATAATTTTGCAAGCTGATAATTTACGGAAGTCATTTTTTGCATGGAGCGAATCACGAACAATGGAAATAATTTCTAAACCAACTTCCGGGTTGAGGATAGCTAATGGAGCATAAATATTCGAATATTCAAAGACGGAGTCACGGTGAGAGTGGGGTGGTTTTGCATAGTACGGGACACTGTACAATGAAAAACAAAATAAATAAACCCGTGGGTGGTAACTAGTTCAATACTGAACCTACTAGATAACCCAAAGTTCAGGGTCCGACCGTTCCAGCATGAAGTAATTTTAACCTTGAAGAAAGCAATGATTTACGAAGTGCGGAATGTTTGCGTTGGTTCAACATGTATTCCTACAATCCATTCACTACCGTTCATCCACCATTAGCTGCATTCTTGAATCATAATTCCATATCTGTTCAAGGTTCACATTAGAACTTTGATCTGAAGATGTAATGTTAAAATACCGCACTGCTTCCTTTGTGTGTCCTTACGAAAATGTGTTACCCCATTCAAGTGAAAAGAGTTTATTTTAGAAAATATACGTATTAAAAATCCTTTAAAAAGTTATTTAATTGGTTTTTTATATTGTTAACTTTGTTGTTTGTTACAGGACAGCTTTCCTGTAAGAACGCAGGCTATCCACATCGTATTCGAACCGTTTTACTTCGACGCCATCTTCATGTTGTTTAAACCATTCTTGAAGGCGAAACTTAGGGACAGGGTAAGTTTTATAGCAAAATACTAATGATAATGTACATAAAAATAATTAAAAGCAACATTTATTATCACTCCTTTAACCCCGAGTCCAAGAAATATCAATCTGATAAAAGGAAATTCATCTATCCATCTAAGTTCGAAATTATCGAATTGACAGTTGACATCTGATCTCTATTCTTCTGAACGTGATCGCAAAGGAATTGCCACAGTTTTCTGAGAAGCGATATCCGCCTTAACCCTCAATTGCACTAAGCTTAGAGACATTGCGAATGTCTATCAACCCTCAGAGCAATTTATGATAATTGTTCTTTTTTACCCTCTAGTCAGTAAGCTTAAAACACAATAATATCCAAACATACGAGTACAAACAAGTATGAGAACAGTACAAGTATAAAATAAACTGAAAATAAAACGCCAACTTCATTTGCTAGTACTGACCACTCCAAATTTACAACACACACACACACACACACACACACACACACACACACACGCACGCACGCACACACACGCACACACACACACATAAATATAAAGAGAACACAAGCAGAAAATAAACTTGTAGCAAATAAAATGTATATTTATTTATAACTTTGCTACATGTTATGTATTTGCTATTTTATTACCCAAACATAATGTGAACAAAAATGTATTCTACTTGTAATGATTGTAGGCTTGAAAACTTAAAACTGGAATGAGGAGGGTAAAGATGTGATTTAGTTTCTCAAAATTTAAATTATTCTTAAATAGAAACAAAAAAATATCGAACGTAACACGTGTATAAATGCGTATAATTGCACTCGTGGTAAATAAAGAAACTCGCTCCTATCGTCGCTCGTTTCTTTAATCATACCACATCGTGCAATTATACGCCTATTTATACACTCGTTTCGTTAACTACTATAACGAAACAAGTGGATAAAGAGTGGTATAATGGCACGAGCGGGATGATGAAGAAAACAAGCGACGACAAGAGCGATTTTTTGTTCCTATTTAAGAATAATTTAAATTTTGAGAAATTCAAGAACATCTTTATCATTTGTGGCATACAGTTCATGACGTCGTATTGATTCTGAAGAATATTTATTTTAGTGGCCTTGCATTGTGTTCTTATGATCATCATAGTCATTTAAAGGATAAAGATATGTTTGCAAATAGATGCTAATGGACATATTCCGGAAGAAGCAGACAATGCCTTAAAAACATTACTTCCCACGAAAAGTTAAGACAGATATGAGAAAGAATACACTATAAAGAGAGTATACAATACAATATAAATATTAGAAAGTAAAGAGTCTCTTGACTCAGTTTTGCAGGCGTAATTTTTAGAACGGGTAAACACAACTAATGTTTATATTTTTTACATTTGTAATATTCTAAGACCAATTTTTTTACATGTAAACATTTAATTTATTCATGTTAAATATTTATGTTGTACCATTAGTCAGCTAGTGTCAAACAAACGTTTATTTCACCAATTTTGTTTTATTAATTTATTATCTATAAGTAGTTGATGTAGGTACGTAATCTGTGATGTACAATTTTGTTTAAGTTTCATGGTTGAATGGAAAAATCTAAGCCACGTCTTTGTTATAGTATAATGATTGTGACCAATATTCTGAATTCTGATTAGTAGTTGGGGAGTTTTAATTGCACTTTTGCAATAAACGTAGTGATACAACGATTTTTCATAGTATTAATGAGTGTATTAAGTTATCTAAAGGAATAAGTACTATAATGAAACAAATTTGTTACATACATCGTAATGAAACTAGTACCGTTTCATTAAAATGTTACATCAGACGTGTATCGTCACTTTTATCTGCGACGATTACAATACTTTCTGTCGACGGACAGTGTTGTCTGTTTCTGTAATTGTTTTACATTCTTCATTGAGATAGCGATGTAACTCGTTTACTTCAACAACTTTTGTCTTTGGAAAGTAACGTTATAATGAATCCAATAACGAATCTTCTTATAATCTCGAAACGAGTTCGCGAAGTCGGCGTTGTCGAAGATAAAATGTATTATTTGATGAGCACGTCTTAAATCGGATAGCGAATGTGTGGCAGCGTTAGCTGAGTGTGCGCGGCGGCGTGCGCAGATCCACCTGCACGGCGCCGACCTGGACAGCCTGCGCGCGATGGTGCCGGAGCGCGCGCTGCCCGAGGAGCTGGGAGGCTGCGCGCCCGGGTGGAACTTCGCCGGCTACCGCTCCGGCGTCGCCCGCAACGAGCACCTCTTCCGAGGTAAGGCTCGCCAAAAGAGCGAGGAAGCAGAGAGCTAAGGAAAACAGGAGACAGCGGATGGAAAGATAATATGAGGGCGAGAAATTATTTATTCGTTTGCTTGTATTTAATATGCGATTCGTATTAGAGTTGAAGCCCTTGAGTCTCATTCTGTTAAATACATTATAGCAATAATGAAGATGGTAAAATGGAATGAAGGAAGGGAAATCGAGAAAATCGCGACGAAACAGGTCGAGAGTTCTGTTTGTCCACCACAAATTTCACATGGATTCGCCGGAGATCGAACCCGTGATCCAGCGAAGGGTGTTCATGCTAGCCACAAGCTCCCCTGAGAAGATATTGCAACTTGTACCGTACGATTATGTATAATTCAATTGCCTCTTGAAAATTACCAAACTATGTGAGTGACGCTCGAACAAACCGGCTGACGCACAGAGGGACGACGGACGGTCAGAGTAGGAAAGATAAGACGAACAGAAGGTAAGAACGGACGACGGATTGACAGACAGGCGGGCGAACACGGACAGCAGGATAGATCACGATCGGAGCCAGGCGAATGGATGGATGGACAGACAGGCGGATGGTCAGACAGACAAAGAGGAGGGCAGACAGGCAGGTGGACGGATGGAAAGACGGACAGAAGGAGAGACGGACGAACAGACAGATGGGCAGCGGGCAAAAAGTGGTCAGACAGTTTGGTGAACGGGCGGGCGGACGGGTGTGCGGGCGGATGGACGGGTGTGCGGGCGGACGTTGCGACGGGCGGGCGGCGGACTAACCGAACGAACAAACCCAACCCCGAACCGAACGAAAACGATACGAACGACGATCGAACGATCGAACGAACAAAAATACAGACGTGGTCAACCAGAGAGGCAAACCTCCAGAGAGGTGGTTGGACAGACAGGCGTGCGGGAAGACAGGGGAGCAGTCTGACGGAGGAAGGTCAGACAGAGAGACGGATGGATAAACAGGCACATGTATGGACAGGTGGAAAGATAGACAGGCGAATAGACGGAGACGGACATACGCATTGACAGACAGACGAAAGGACAGGTAGATTAAAGGAAAGTCAGGCGAACTGACATACAGAAGGGCGGGCAAACGGAAGGACAGACAGGCCGAAGGTTGGATAGACGAACGGACAGAGACGGACAAACATGTACGTACATACGAACAGACGTTTGGACGTATGAATACTCAGAGGGTCGGACTTTATAAGCGACATATTCAGGACTTATAGTATTAGGCGGCGGTCACGGCGGAGCAGATCCTGGCCGACATCGGACGTTTGCATCTGATCCATGAGGTAGCGAGCGAGTGATATTTTGGCTGCACTGTGGCCGTACCCAAGTTGGATAAAGCACGAAGTGTGGCAAAGGTTAGGAATATCCTGACAATTCGCACATTAGCTAGACGGTGTGTGAAGAGCTATACACCGAGATGACAAAACTAATGGATATCTCCTAATATCGTGGCAGACCTCATTTTGCTCGGTGATGCGCAGCAACTTGTCGGAGCTTGGAATCAGTAAGTCGTAGGAAGTCCTCCTACAGAAATATCTACCCACGCTGCTTTTACAGCCGCTCATAATTGAGAAAGTGTTGCATGCTCTATGATTTTGTTTTTTTAATAATTAATTCAATAATTAATAATTCTCTGTTAATATGAGCTCAAAATTCCGCGTTTTCAGAAATGTTTTAACGCCATTTTCCCAAAAATGTCTCCAATTTTTATCTGAAAGCTTTTCCAGCGGATAGTGCTAATTGCACTGCTTCATGCACGTACAGTTCATTTTGGGATATTTTTGTTTTTTCAAAAATTTCACAAATATATATTTTTTGAAATATCTTTCACGACTTTAGTACGCAGATTTTCCTCAATTTGTATACATTATTGCCATTGTAAGTGGAAGTGCTTTAAATGACTTCAAATGAAGTTTTTCGAAAACTCAAAATTTTTATGTGAAAAGGATCTCTAAATTTCGCATTTATAGTAACGCTTAAACGCCGTTTTCTTAAAAAAGAATTTCAATTTTTTCAATGGCAATTGCGATTTAGGATGAGGTTTTACTCTTCTGTAACATTTTAAAAGTAATATTACTGTTCTACAATTTGGAAACAGAAAAAATAGAGAATTAAAAAAAAAGGGATAGAGAAAAGGGTCTTGGGCGGCGATAGAGAGTAGCTGGCAAGAGTATGTGGCAAGTTCGAATAGCTAGCCCCGACGAAAAGTTTGTGCCATTCTGTAACACCACTGCACATCCCATTAAGGGTAAGGACGTCCTGCTCGCGCAGGGAATTATTAATCCTACTTCAATGAAGTGATAAGATGATGATGAAGGGTGAGGGAACGATCTCAAATACATCCATGCCCGAGGCGGGATTCGAACCCGCGATCCTTCGATCCGAGATCGCGACAACATTACTGCCTTAGCAATCTCGACCATCCGGATAGACCAGTTCAATATTAAGGACCCACAACATGTGAATTGTGACTACATGACTTATTTCAGAGAAGTAAGTTATGTATAGAGTATGCGAATCACCTTGCGCACGTGTTGCGTGTACTATTTCAACAAAGTTTCGAACACACTTCGCGATGTTTCGTGCACTCTTCGTAATGTTTCACTTACTATCAGTTACAATGAGTCTGTTTAGCACACGGAAAACAAGCCTGAGAAACTGTTTCGCACTCGGCGTGATAAAAAGTAATTTACTACTAATAGCAAGAAAATCACTTCTTGGTATCGTGGACCCACAAAATCTTCTTTTTGAAAAACAAATTATATTCATACTCATTTCGATGACACTTGATTTCAGTACTAAAATTAGGCTGCTCCTTATCTCTAAAATTGTTTACTATTCTCTCATTTCCAGCCACCTGTCACATTTTCGGCATACTTTCTAAGCGTCTTAAATACTTTACTTCAATTGCGTTTTAAATGTTTACGAATGGTAATTCCTGTGCTTAAGGAGGCTTAATTAAATTGTATCAGGTGCAAATCATAAGGACGCCTAGGTTCAATCGCTGGACAATTCCTAAAGTCAAACTCAATTGGTCAAATGGTGAGGATTGCTTTTTTCTCCAACCTAGCCTCGAGAGACCCAGCATAGGGACCGCAACGGTGACTGTCATAACAAAAACATGTAAACACACGTTAACATCATCTCTTCATATTCATTAGTATAAAGTAACGCCATCTCTCGGAACTGAGCCCTGACTGTCCACTCCATCATAACAGTTATGTTATCTTGTACCTACGCAACGCAACTTGTACAGTTTGATTTTGATTTCAAATGAAACCATGAAACGAATCGGATGGTGCAATGTTTTTCTATACCTTTAGCTTTTCAATAACAATTGAGGATACAACAGTAACTTTCGAACTCTGGGAACCACGTCCAGATATCCTTATCACTCTTTAAAGAGTGTAAAGTGCAAACCAGGATTCCGTTTTCTCTGACGTTCATTCCATAACGTAACTCATTTTCATATTTCCAATCATTGTCTTCAACTACATTTCTCTGTCCACATACAAGGGTACAAGAGAAAGTTGGTGTGCCATACCTCAAAAAATTCGATTTCTAAAATTTGAAGATTCCTTCACATTTATCGTATTTGATAATGAATATCCACCTGAATGCAATCTTAAGAAAAGGGCAATTCGGTGTAATTATCGTAAGGAGACGTCCACAAATTACGTAACGCAAATTTGGAATATTTTGAGTATCCCATCTCTCCCTTGGAAGGAGCGCTTGAACTCTCCTCTAATAATTACGTAACGCTTGCGACAACCCTTCCCTCATTACAATAAGTAAAAATCAATTATAAAGCAGAAACGAATAGTATTAATTGTTTTTGTGTTCTGAATTAAAATTAATGATAATTAACTTGAGAATTAGTTGCTGGCACGAACTGCACATAACCAGAAGTTTCGGGACAATTTTTCAATGAAAGGACACGTAGGCAAGAAGATTTCTGACAAGCCGTGCACACGCCGTCGTGGATGACGCATTGGCTCAGGGTCTACTACACATACTTCATTGGATCCCAGAATATAATATAAATAGGTTTTGAATATTTTATTCATAATCTAAAAGATTCAATCAATATATCTTTGAAGAACAATATTTTCATTTACTGTAACAATTTATACTTACTATAAAACTTCTTTAATTTATTGTATTTTAAATTTAATTAGTATAAGACTGTTTGAAAGAAATATTTATGCAAATGTTCAAAGAGCATAAAAATAAATATCAACGTTACGTAATACTTAACTATGACTCGCGTACCCCTATGTAACGCAGCGTAACGCTTCTTCGACCCCCCCCCTCTCAGCGTCACGTAATTTATGGACGACCCTTTCTCAATACAGATGCAAAGAACTAAAGGAAATTAAAACGAATTCAATTGTATGAGTACGTGGGCTATTTTCTAATAAATTACCTCTGATCTTTTTCCAGCATGGCGTCACTACGGTTATGGGAAAGGAAAAGAGGAGCCTGGTACTTCGGCACCTTGACCTCAGAAGTGCCTGGCACATCCTATGCGGAAAAAGCGAAGTGTTTTAACTCGCCCTCGGAAGAGAGTTCGCAATTGCCTTCGAGATCAGAAGTTGCGAATATTCGTCGTTTTTATTCGGACGACACAACAGTGATGCTTAAGTTAAGTTATCTGGAAGAACGAGGAGAACAACTGATGAATTATCAAGACAAATCAAGTTCGCTAGATGCGGATTGATATGTAAATTTCTAAATCACAGTGGTTGACAGAAAGCATCGTTGATCGAACTAATGTTCATTTCTGAGGCTATTAGTTATATTCACGGTCTGCAAATTGCTTCAGAAGGAGCAAGCCAAGTGAATAATCTACATTGCCAATTTATTTTTCTTATTTGACATGGACAAACTAGAATTTGTATAAAACGAAATCAGAAGTTTTTTCTGAAAGACTATTCGCAAACAAAAGCGAACTGAAAAGGAAGTAAGTTTAGAGTTCCTTTTACAACAATTATTACTTCAAATCTAGAGAGATTCATTATACATCTACATACACTGTACCATATTTTTATAATTCAATTTTCATATTACTACACATTGTGTCAGGGTTATATTTTAGGAACAATAAGGGACACAATGACATAAGGAAAATTTTACTTCATTGTTAATATAGCCTAGAACCTGTTCTGTATATGCATAAAAGAAAATGGATATGAAGAAAAAATGGTGTCCCATTTATTTTTTTATAATAAACTTTGTCATTAATGTTTCTCCTAGAACCCCAGAGAATAATAAGTGACATGCTAGAAATATTATGTTTTCCTGCAACTTTCCATACTATCTATTCAACAGTGCAGTTTCATTATTTTTCTATTTTTAAAGTGATAATGCTTTCTTGAAAAATTAAGTACTTCTAATTGAAATATTTTGGACAATGTTTAATGTTGGATGTGAACTCAAAATTCTTATTATCTTTGTCTTTTTCCACATGCTGATTAATAAACAGAATGTATGGCGTATCAATTGCAATTCAATCAAGGACAAAATTGACCTCAAAGAAAGTGATATTTGTTTTTATTGCTTATTGGATTGGCTATAAATAGAACATTGATACAAGCACATAATCAAATTCTATTAGATTCTCTTGATTAATAGTTGTGAATTTATAATTGTTCATTATTTATGACTTTCATCTTCCATTCCATCAGCAAGTAGTGAAAACATCCACACATACAACATTTATGTCCATGCTGCGCAGTTGCTACAACTGTTCTCCAAGTCACTCAAGTAAGCAAGGGAGCCAATGACAACATTTATTAGTTCCAAGTATAATTAGTAATTGCAAAAAATTTCACTTTATATTGCCACTTCAACTTATGGGGTCTGCTTTCATTGGCCAAGATATATCTATGGCAACAATGGAGACGTGACAGTTATGGGAGGACTGTAAGACCCCTATTCGATTTTTAATTGTCTACAGAAATAACTTTGCAATTATTCTGTTTTATTCATAAAGATTTCTTAGAAGATATCTCAAATACTATATATTGACAGCTTAGTTTTATCTAAAATGTTTTCCAAGAAAATTCAAAAGTTTCACTTTCAATCAGGAAAGCCATATGACAGAAAATGAATTGTGGAAGTATCATGAAAAAGAACTCAAGAAACAAAACAGGCAAGTGAACAGGTGTGAGATATGAAAATCTGCCAGCTGTTCTGTCCAGTACACGATACAATTAAAGGAAGATTTAAATTCAATAATACAGAAGCAGAAAGTAAGTGGATTTTCTCCAACGATGAAAATAAGAACAAAGCTTTGAACATATATTACCATAACACAGGTAGTTTTACAACTGAAGGAAACAATGAGCAGTCAAACATAAAAATATGCAAAACATATTGTCAAGCAGAAAACAAAGAGAGAAATTGAAATACACATGTTTGTAATTACCTACTTTTAACATCACAAAATGTAGAACTATCTCCAATTGTTAAATTTCCAGTTAAGATTTTATTAGGATGTAAACATTCAAATAACTTTTGCCGATTTCTTTCCTATTACATTCACAAATTTTAAAAGAACAAAACAGCAAATTTATTTAGTGACCAGTACTTTTTTCCTTATTAGACAATATTCCGCGTTATGAAATGTAATCCTGTAGAATTTATGTGTAACAGGACAGCAATTTACATTCACATTAGACAGATATCCACATTATACATGTTCAGTTTTGACTAAGTATACTGTAGTATTTTACTGTAGTATAATAATCATGTTAAGAATTATATCTATAATTATCCTGTAATATAGCAAAACAATCAAGATCTTTTTATCCATGTAAATGAATGGAGTTTTTTCAACTGGTCAAATATAATATACAATTTACCATTCAAATACTTAGTATGTGATTGACATGTATGGTTTATATTTTTTGCCTTATTACAACCATAATTAAGAATTATTCTTAAGAGAATATCTTTTCATTATCTTTTGAAGTTATGAATTTTGAGGTCAAGGTCCATTTGTTCTGCGAAACAAAATTTGAAAAGTTAGAAAATTATCTTTTTTAGAAACTCATTGACTATGCTTTTTCTGGAGAAATCTAAAAAAATTTAATCAATGGAGTTTTAATTTATTAAGAATAAAATAACATTACTTTTTTCAGAAAAAAAAACAACAAAAAAACAGCACCTACCAAGTAAAGACCTTTCTAGACAATGATCCTGTAAGATAGATACTGTAAATCATTGCTAATTTTTCAAAAACGTTTGTTTCATTAATTTACGAAGTTTGTATGTTTAATTTAATGTGCTTCTATTATCGTTTTTATTTTATTTAACAGTTCCCTATTTTCTATTAAGACAATCTTAACAAATATGCAAATTCTAAGTGCAATATGAATCATAGTTGAAGTGTGATCATCAAAATATTGTGCAGCTTTTATTTTACCAAAACTTATTTGTATTTGTACTTAAACCTATTAAAAAAATAAGAAAAAATCATAATTTAATAATAATAAATATATTTTTGTTATCATAAAAAAATCTCATAAAAATATAAATTTTAATTTTAATTTTACACAAAACTGATGCATAAAACTTTAACATCTTTGAGAACATTTTTACTATCTGTTTGGTTGTGGCATGCATTTTCAAAAATATATGCTTCCATTTCTCTCCTCCATCGAACCTAAATGTTTAATTGTTGAACAAATTATTGAACATATAATCATTAAATTATTTTTTTTTACAATTAAAGATAACTGAATTTTCAATACAGTGTTACCAATATAAAAATCATTTAAATAACACTACAAAAGCAGGTACCAATGTAATTCTAGAGAATCACTATTGACATTTCAGATAATATAACTTTTTTATGTTTTAATAGCTTCAAGAAGTTCTTCAAGTTGAGGAAGTCTGCCAATTTGAAGTGTGGACCAAATTTGGGTGCCTGATAAAGGAAATTAATTGATTAATGCAATTCTGAAATTAAATGCTAAAGTAGTTACTAATTCCTTGCGAGGCAAGAGTAAACCTTCATGAGTAGGGAAAGGATTTTGAAGGGCAAGTTATGGACATAAAAGGAGGAAAAAAGGTTCTGAAAATACATGAAAAAAAGGTGCACAACTGTATTGTTTAAATTGAGTTCCATGAACTCAGTTTCTAGAATACAAATATCATTATGCACCAAATTTTTCTTCTTTGTAGATTCTGTAAGAGGTCATTCTTGGTACTTTATCTACACTATAAAAGATAGAAATCTGTTGAACATTTGCCAGTACTGACTGAACTTTATCTGCAGATCGCTTAGTAGAACATACTTCGAAGGCGCGTCAAACTGCGCCCACTCAAGCTCTTGCAGGCACAGGCAACTTCCTCTGACACCCCTCTCCTTTCCCCTCCACTAGAGCTTCCAGTGCTTTTTTAGTATTGACGGTGACACGATGACTAGGGTAAACATTTTTCTCAGCTCACAGATAAGTGGTTTCTACACACCCATTTAAATGTCTACATTTTTCTGTTTTGGCAGCATTTTAAATCCAGCGGGAAAGGATTAAATTGTTTCAGCAACACTTTTGAAATTTAAATTTGACTTAACAGCTTGACCATTCCAATTGACTATTGTTACTGAGATATCAATAACTGGTGGTTTACATAAAATATATGTTAATATTTATTTAATATTGTTGACTTCAGATTAAATGAGATTTTTTAAAAAAGTTGTTCAGGAAGAGAAAAAATACCCTTTTTTGTCACACTTTATTTGGAGAAAAAGGTGCAAAGAAAGAGGGGAAATTTGACAAAATGTAATAATCTCACGAAAAGGTGCAGCAAATTGTGTTTGTCTTGCTTCATTTCATCTCCCCCCCATACATATATTTAACTATCTGCATTAAAAGAGCTATATTTTTGAAAACATGCAGCATCTTAAAATCCTTTCCCTAATCAAGAGTGTATACTTCAGTGAAGTTTTATTATTAGAATTACGAAGGTCTACAAGAAACTAGCAAATTATAGGACTTAGCGAAAGGAAGTAGCAACAATTTAAAGTTTTCATTTAAGTTAAAAGTAAAATAAATATTCTACTTCTCCCAGAAAATAGGTAAAGATTATTCTTCACATCAACTAATAAGTAAAACCTAGTAAATCACAAGTAAATCCCAAAATATGCTGATGATGTAGGAAAGAATAATTCTAAGGAGTATACATAAGCATAGTAAGCATTAGTAAAATCGGACAGTGACATAAAATACAATTTGGAGTTGAGCAACATAACCAAGAGGTCTGTTAGAGTGGCTGAAATGAAATACAGAAGGGCACAGTGGCTTGGACATCTATTCGAAATCGGGAATGAGAGAGCACCAAAACTGGTCTTCTTTGGAGAACCAGAAGGTAAAAGCAAGAGAGAAAGGCCACAAACAAATGGGACAGCTAGAAGATGTGAAAAAAGGTTGGAAAATACTGTTCATGAGAGGTTGCAGACGAACAGCAAAGAAATGAAAGGAATGGGCATTCAGTGTCACAGCTAAACTGAAAAGGCCATAGTGCAACGAAAGATGTAGGTTTATAAGAAACTCATGTCATCACAGCACGTATGAAAAGGAAGAAGCTACAATATGAATTTATGGTTTTCATTAATGTTACAAATGAAATATTTATTCTATTTCTCACAGAAAGATAAGAAAAAGAGGTTCCATTCCATGTCTGTTCCTTATAATTCACAATATCTGGTTCTCTCAGGGCCCCTGTACCAGAGTTGTGTTGATGCATGATAAGTTAAGCAAGTTGCAGAATAACACAGTGTTTTATGCAAAACAGCACATGAGCACTTTGTCTGTTCCACATAAGTTATGAAATTAATCTAAGATGAGTGTTACTTATCGCACATCAACATAAACATAATAAGGCTTGTGTAACACAGGCCTTAAAAGAAATAAACATAAGTGGCAGAAGCAGCTTCTGGAATATTGCTTTTCACTGGTCTGCTTATTATTGCAGTAATATTCTTCCAAGAGATTTATAATTTTTGCTTTGAGTGATCCTAAAATTAGGATTCAGGCATAGTTATTTAAGAAATGAAATAACTGTACTATCTGTTCTAATATTGGTCTTCTAGAAAACCTACTTTGAAAAAAGTGTGTTGCCTTTCCAATGAAATTAAAATGCTCAATCTATTCTCAGAAGTATTTGTTTAGGAAAAGAAGAAAGTTACAGAGGGAGAAAATTAATGTACTATTACATGGGGAAAAAAATATTTATTTAAGCTGAATTTGTACTCTATAGAATTCTCTCAATAGCAGCATCAAAATAATTACGTAAGCTAGATATAAAGTTTGTCTTTTATCTGCTGTCAATTAATATATTTTTATCCATACTAGTTTGGGAATAAACAATGTCAGGATTATTAAGGTAGCATTGTTCTCAACTACTCTTCTTTCATCCAGATTATTTCTTAATTGTTGCCAAAAAATATTTTTTATGCCAACAATGTATATTAAATATAATAAGCTAAGGATAGATTTTTTTGGCAATTTGTAAGGAACCATCGCCACTCATGTCCTTGAAGGAACACAAGTTTTTCAGAGACGTGTTCCATGCAGACAAGTTTTGGGGGAAGGGTTGGGGACATTTAGGGAAACAACAAAGGGACAGGTTGAGGATAGGTACGGATTATGTGGGAAAGTGAAGGAGGACAAGTGGGACATGACTTCCTAAGCAGTGTTATATTTTTTTGAACTTTAATTACACTATTGGAGATTTCTATTGGTATCCCCTCTTCATAGAATGCATGGCCGATCAGAAAAGTTCAGAAATCTGAAATTGAATCAGAAAACACATTTAAAACCCCCCTAATCTTTTCCGCTGCGTAACTGTTTCTATACAATTAGAGACTTTACTGACCAGCATAAAGAAAAGTAATATTTATTTTAACAATGATATATAATGCATTAATTTACATTTTTATTGTATGACTTTTAAAGAAACTTAATATGCAGGTAACAAATAATGTACTTTAGATTCCGGGTCAACCACCTCCATATCGATAGGTTTTTGTCCAGTTTCCTTGATCCATGGGGCAAAGGCTGAGATGGCTTCTTGTTTTGCTCCTGGACATTAACATAGCTTTACTATGAGCACATTTTCTTGAGCTCTCCTTTTGCTAGTAGTGGTAGGAGTAAAGCAGAGGTTGTGTTACTATTTTGTTTGCAGTTCCAAAAAATTTGAATCTGCAGTTCATTTACTGATGCAAATAAGTTTTTTATAACTGAGAAATAAAAATGTCTAGTTTTTCAAATGTTGCTAATCTCATGCTTTTTTATTTAATTTATTATTATTATTATTATTATTATTTTATTAGTTAGTGATGTCTTTATTATTATCTTATGTATTATTTTATATGTATCTATCATCAATCATCATCATCATCGATCGTCATCTACTTTTTATTCATTTTTTAACTATTTGTAGTTAAAATGTTGGGAAGAGGTCCTGGAGCTCAAGAAGCAGATGATACTTTTCCACCATACTTCACATACAGTTTATACTGTTTTTTGTCTAAATTAATCAAAGCAAATTAATGAGTATCTTACACCATTGCTTCCTTAACTCTACTTTACCTTCCAGTAATGTAGAACCATTCATTCATTTTTGAATAAATGTGTGTGTGTTTTTCTCATTCCTAGTTAAATTTTAATTTGTAGATGGGGCATAAAACCCATTTTGAAAAATAATTCATTATTTTCTTTAGGCTTTATTTTAGTATTGTAGATGAGGTTCATTTATTTATTTTATTGTATTTTAAATCACTGTGCAACTTCATGGTCATAAGCGATCACAATCCAATGTACTTTACATTATAAGAAAATATACATTTTTCATTACCTTTCATATCATTGTGTTTTAACAATTCAATATTAAATACAGTTACTATTATAATCACTGGAATTTTTTAACAATAAAAGAAATACTATACATGTTTATCTAATTTTGAAACACACAGAAATTCAATAACTTTGAGTCACTGCGAAGTAGAATGTAATATAGAATAGATATCTGTATCAAATTTTAAGTTCTACCTGAGAATACTCATGAAAGGACATTCAACTGTTAAAAGAATAGAAATAATTTCACCACAATTTGGACACTGATCTGGATTTGTCTTCTTAAATAAATAACCGAGACTCAAATTAAAATGGCCAATTCAGAATATTGATTAAATTACTTTTGTTTTCTTGTGAAATTGGAGAGGAGAAGAAGGGGATCCAGAATTGAATTTCTAACATGACATAATTTTGAACATTTTGTTGTCCATTTCAAATCTCATAGTCATAATGTTGATAATAGAAGGAGTTTTAGTCATCAAGGGAACCAGAGATGAGTTATTGGAAATGGAAATGGAAAAGGAATTTTGGAAGTCTTTTTTGCTAAGTACTCCTCATCTTCATTTTCCTAAATTCCTTGGTAGGAAGGGATCCATGAAAGAATGACATAGCAATTATTTTGGAACAGGGATATAATATGAAACGTTTATTTCAGAAACCCGTCAAACGCCAAATTCTTCATCTCAAAAAAACTAAGAAAAAGTCTCTCAATTTATCTGATTTCAAAATATTTTTATTTATTAAAGCAGTTGATAAATAAATATTTTTCATATAAATATGCACTAAACAGTGTGTTTATCTTCTTGGAACAATAATCTGCCACTAATGCGTGTTTTTGATTTTGACGTTTAATGGTTTTCTGAAATAAATTATTCATATGTTCTGGGATTTCTTGAATAGTAGATTATGTTTATTTGTAGATATTTAGTTAAAAGGAGTGACTTGTATGTGTTCTTTGCTATTATATCACGATTGTGTGATGAGTGAAGACACATGTGTACTGAACCTCTAATCAGGTTTAGGTTGGATTGAAAATTCAGTCCTAATATGAAATAAATCTGTGGAGACTTATTTTTGCAGATGAGTCTTCAGAAAAAAACAAAAAAGAAAACCTGCAGTTTGGACTTAGACAGAAAGGAGAAATATCACACAAAGATGAAAAAGATTAGGAATAAAGAAAAATATCAACATCATGAACTGTTTGTGTTTGGTCTTAACAGCCTGTTCCATTAAAGAAAAATGTAAGAGTGTATAATAAATGGTTACACAACCATTCATCTCAAAAGTTCATAAAAATGGTCAATAAGAAGATTAGTAAATAAATTGTTTATGTTAGGAAACTTTTCTTTAAGTTTGTATCTAAAATAATATCAACTTTCTACATAGACAGATCCAGAGACAAATATTAGGAGAGGAAATTAAAAATGTTTCAATCAAATGTGTCATTACAGATTTTGTTAAATGTTGCAAGCTACATGCAGCTCACGCTGTGATACGATTTTATTTGTTTTAATAATTATCCAAAACAATTTGTAATTGAAAGTTTTCTGATAAGTTACAATTAATAGTAACTGAAAAGTTTAGGGGAGGAAATTTCTCTTATTTCCTTCCTGGTGGATACATGCCTTTTATTTAACATCTTCATAAATATCATTATTACGAATGAAAGCAAAAGCAATGTGGTGCTCAGAGATACTTTGTCATCATGTATAAGTCATTGGCTTTTAATACCTAGTTGACAGATGCTAGGGTTTGTAGCCACAGTGCAGGAAAAGTATGGAAAGTTAGTGATGAAGTGGTGAATAATTAATGCCAGAATACAAGGCAATGGTGTAGATAAGGAAAAAATAGAGAGAAACTGGGTAGCAATAGCTATATTTCCTACTGCTATTCCATGTTAGATTGACTCATAAAACCTGTGCAGCAGAAGTGAAGAATTCTAGAGCTTATTACAAGGATTTATTTGCAATATAAGTATTTAACGTTAATAATTCAATCTCAATGAGAGATTTTTGTTTTTTGTTTTTGAGATAATTGAAATCAACAGTTCTCATACACGTTTGAGATTATTTTTTCATAATTTAATATATTTTGTTTCAACAGGATATTTCTTCTAATAAGAAAATTGCGTTTTCACTTTTACCGTTACACATCATAAATGAAAAAACACTATTCAAATATAAAATATCAATCAACACATGAGAAATATGTCATCAATTTGAGGAAATATGCTATTTTCTTGGAAAAAGAAGTCTGCCACTTTCATTTTTTATCTTAAGTAATCGTGTTATCTTTAAATGTCATGAAGTTAGGAGAACAAAGTACCACAATTTGAAGACTATTGAAATGCTTTGACAAGTTCTTGGTGCAATTTTCGAAAACATTCTTACCATTTTGGAATATCTCAAATGCTCCGGAAGAAAGAAAAGTCTTTTCCAAGTAGGTGCATACAAAATATATACATCCATTAGCAACAAATTTGTATTTTTGACAAAACAACCACAAATATTGCAGCCTGTTAGGAAAAAAATTAACATTTTGCAAAACACAGACAATCAATACTATCTTCAAACCACTCTGCAAAAAAAAACAAACAACAACAACAAAATGTAAGTTAATTAAAAGAACCATAACATATATTCAAAACATAGTGGCACATTTCATAAATTTTAACTTACAAAGGCATTTGCTAATACAACCCACCAAGAGGAAGGATTAAATTCTTGTCCTTCAATTACAATTCCAGGAAAAGTTTGTTGTACAAAATTACCATATTCTTGGAAGTTTTCAAAATATCCACATGAATAACTATAATACAATTACAACATTAACTATGAAAAATATTTCTAATCATCGAAATAAGTATTCAAAATAGACCAAATTTGTTGTAAATGCTTGAAAAAATAATGGTGTTGAATTACCAGTACTGGAAAAGGAGTTTCGATTTTGACAGTTTTTCATTCAATCCTTGTCTATCAACACATGTGCAACAACTTAGGCAAATAATTGAGAAAAACAATACTGTAATACCCGTTACATTGCGACATGCATAAGAACATGAAACATTGCCTGAATAGCGGGGTTCATCGGCCCCTGTCATGGACATTTTTCTTGGTGCACCGAACCAGCAGAAACCACCAGGCACTGTCATCGCTGGTCACCAGTCAACTTCGGCGAGCACTTGCCGCCGGAGTACTCAAAATACAAGAGAAGTGAACGATTAAAAGAGAAAACAGGTGACTATATTATGCAATATACTGCCATCCCTGCGCTCCAGAATTTTCTAAGAATTCATATTCTTTAACGCATATAGAAAAATGCTGACATGTCATTACAATTATTCGTCCGTTTTTCATTTGTATTAAGCAGTGGCATGTAATACATTTCTCACGGAATTTAAATGAACGCGCCAAAATGTCGAGTTCTAGTTTATAATATCAACATCAGATATTTAGATTTATTTAGTCAAAAAATAGTAAAAAATGTATGTGACGTGTGGGTGAGAAGATCATTTGCGGAAGTTTTATTGAGTTCCAGAACCACTTCCTATCATTTTAACAATAAATAGTTGAAAGATGACTAAAAGTTAAAAACAAATGAATGAATAAATAAATAAAAATATTTTCAAAAGATCATGAGATTAGCAATATTTAAAAAAATATACATTGTTGTTTCCGAGTTACAGAAAACTTATTAGCATCGGTAAACGAATTGTATGATTTTTGCTGCAAAATTTACATGAACTGCATTGCTAACAAAATAGTAACACACCCTATCTCTACTCTTACCGTTACAAGCAAAAGGAGAGTTCAACAAAAGGTGCGCATAGTGATGCTACATTTACGCCCAGAAGCAAAACAAGGGTCCATCTCAGCGTTTGCTCAATGGATCAGGGAAACTGGACAAAAACCTGATCGAGATGGGGGTCATTGACCCGGAAGCTGAAGTACATTATTTGTTACAAACATATTAAGTCTTTTTAAAAACTTATACAATTCAAATGTAAAATAATTCAATATATCACTGTTTTGGTAAACATTATTTTTATTTTTGATAATCAGTATAGTCTCGAATGGTATAGAAACAGTTATGCACCAGAAAAGATTTTACTTGTAACTTAAATTTGTGAACCGTCTTCAATTGTTAAATGTCATTTGGCAATGCGTTGTAAAGTAACATGCATGTACTGTATGTGGTTAGTTGTTGATACTGACACTTGAACGTTATTTCAACGACGAGTGTTGTAATTATTAATATCAATATTGCATGAAAATATGTTCCCACCGTTAAGTAAGTCACTTTTGACAATTAACACAGATTCGTAAATATATAAGCAAGGCAGTGGTAAGTTTCCAAGCGCAATGAAGAGAGGCCTGCAGTGATCACGCGGATGGCATTTTTTCATTTTTCGAATAATTTTCTTTTGCAATCTAAAGGTCTGAGTACTACATGATGAGTTTTCCCAGAATATTATGCCATATCTCTGGCGGAAATGTACATTTGCAAAATACCCGTAACGACCCCATGAAGGTTGACAGCATTTGAAAGAATTATGAATGCGTAACATAATGAACTTAATTAAGTGTTTCATTTTGTTATGCGTACATTCCATTTGAGGTTTGACTGAATTGAGAGACCTAGAAATTTTGTTACCTCAACATTAGCTAATTGCATATTGTTCATTTTCAATGGAGCATGAGATTGCTGATTTCAATTACAAAAATGCATTGAAACTGTTTTTCCTTATTTAACTATTAATTTGTTATTACAAAACCAATATGAAACTTCTGAAATCGTACTATTTATTGTTTCTTTTTTGCAAAGAACATTCGTGTCATCGGCAAACGTAAACGTTCATCCTTTTTTTTAGACGGGGCATATCGTTTACGTGTAACAGAAAGAGGATAGAACCAAAGATCGAATCTTGCGGGACTCCATATTTAATGGGTAAAGAATGGGAAAGATTAGAAAATAATGTCCTTTCGTGCCAGTACGGTATTTCTACTCTTTGAGATCGATGTTTAAGGTACGAGGTCATTCAAACTAGGGTGATATCACGAATTCCATAAGAGGGTAATTTTGATAGCAAGATGTTGTGGTCAATAACATCAAAAGCTAAAAATATTCCAATGGGTGCTTCATCTTGGCCTATTGGTGAAGCAACATCTTTAAGAAAATAAAAAAAAATATGCAGTAGATTTTTTTTTCTATAACCGTGTTGCGACTGAAAAAGCTTCATTTTTCCTGACAAAAATTTCCAACTCGAAATTCGCGAACAGAAAAGCCTCTTTAATTATTTTGAAAAAACTGACAAAAGACAAATTGGCCGGTAATTTTGAATTTAATTTTTGCTCCCTTTTTTAGAGTGTGGCTTAATTTTTGCTGTTTTGAAAATATCTGGAAATTTTCCTGTGCATAAAAAGCATTGAAAATGTGAGTTAACGGGTGTATTAACGCATGTACACATGTTTTCAATAAACAATCTGGAAACACATCTTAACCAGATGAATATTTATTTTGTAGTTTTTTATTCTCAGGATTTTGTTAGACGACATTTCGGAAATAAACATTGTGACGAAAATTTTTGGGATTGGAATGATGTTGAATTTTTGTATTTTTATTTCCTTCGTGAGTTAAGCCGCAATTCTAGAAAAAGTGTTGGTTGGAGAGATTTGTCACTTTTTCCTAATTAATCGTTTTTTATTATCCTTTTAAACAACATTCTCTACTATGTACGGAGATTATATGGTCGTATTTTTGACGATATTCCACATTGCTTTAGTTTTGTTACTAGCGTTCAAAATATCCCGATTATTTTTCATTATTTGTGCCTAAACTACTTTCCTTAAAATTCTTTTGTACTCTCGAAAGAAGATGTGGAAACCGGCTGAAACGTTATGATGTTTAGAAATAAAGTAAAGCGTACGTTTATTTTTACACAATGTTCTAATTCCTTGTGTGATCCAAGTATTATTTTTCGTGAAACGTTTAATTTTATTTTCTTGAGGGGAAAGCATGCGTTAAAGTAAAATGAAAGCTTTGAGAAAAATATATTATACTTTTCATTTGTGTCAACAGCATTATAAACTGTGTTCCATGACTCCTTCAGCAAAAAGACCGTAAATAATTTTTTGTTAACTTTAGTGAATGCTCTGCACACGCGTGTATTATTTATTGTGTCGAAGTTCATGTTATTAGTAATTGTAAGAATTTGTGCTTCATGGTCACTGTAACTAAGATTAGTAGTTTTTATTTCATATATATTTCTAGTTTTTTAATTATAATTTGATCTACTGCTTTTTGTGATTTAAATCTATTCCGTCTAAATTAAAAGAATGCAGTAAATTGAGAAACTGCTCTTTTTCGTGGGGTTTGCTCAGAAAATCAATATTGAAATTTCCACATATAACAATGGATTTAAAAGATTTATTACTAATTTTGTTCTGAGTGATCTGTAGATTTTCTAAGAAAATGAAATTATTTGAAGCTCGCTTTGTCGGAGGTCTGTAAATGCAAAGTAAGAGTTTTGAGCGCAAGAAAACGTACGACTATTTCAAAACTTTTTCGACTGCAAAAATTGAATTCTGACAAGAAAATAGAGCCCTCATTTGATTCCCTCGCTCTACAATATGATCCTGCAAGTTAAAAACTAAGAATTTTGAGTGTATTTTGATCATTATGAGAAAACCAATGTTCTGTAAAGACAAAAACATCTATTTGACTTAGGTCACTGAAATGTTGCCTCGAAAATATCAATTTTATTTGAAAGATTCCAAATTATGATGCATTATTTGAATTTTTGCACGTACCTACATAGATGTTCCTATGCTGCATTGCCATTTATTTATCTCATTTTTACCTCGAGTGCGTGGTCGAAGGAAGTATCGTGCCCCAGCAGTGACAAGAGGTGAGGAAGGAGGCGGATGAAATGTAGATAAATGAATAACGGGAGAGGTAGTACAAGGATTAGGTTCAGGGGATAAGGTAATTGGGTCTAAAGAGGTCCCAGACGATAGAAGAGAGGTAGGAGATGTGGGTGGGGATGGGTGATGGGCAGGACACTGCAGAGGTTGTGAAAGGATGTCTTTTGCAAGCCCGTTACCGAATGCATGTTTTCCGACAAGGTTCAGGTGAAGATCATGCCGGGTGAAGTGTTTTTCTCAGAGAAATTTTAGCGCAAATAATTTGGCATGGGTGTCTCTCGGATGATTTCAATTAGTTGTTTGCGTGTTTAATTTCTTTGCACATTGTTGTTGGTTTGTTGTACCGAAGGGAAGAGTCGAAACTATAATGTTCAGACGACTTTCTCCAAAATTGATATGCTTAGATTAATTTAAACGAACTCCACGGCTTCCGATTTTGAAATTTATATTTTGATTGTGGGGGATACTTTACAAGAAGCAACATATAGCTCCAAATTTTGTTTATTAAGCATTGACACAGCGTAAAGGATGCCTAAAATAGCGCATATATAAGTTTTGCTGAATTCTCTGAATATTCGAAAATTGCTAGAGTTTAAAAAGGCCTCTTACAATATTTCGAATAATTTTTCGAAAATGTGACCAGATTTATCCACTTTTTTCAATAAAGGGCTCTGACTGCAAGGTCCAAGGTTTGAGTCCAGACGGTGGTGGTAGGATTTTCGACACTGGCTAGAGAGCTGGATCGAGTTCAGTCGCTGTCTGGAGGAGAATTTCGCCTGCCGGCTGCTCTGAACGGTCGTTTTCTGTGGTTTCTTCGATCTCCAGGCGTATGCCGGGGCAGCACCCTAACAGACGGGCCATGGATCACGTGCGATCTTTCCTTCCCATTCCTTGTCCCATCATCACCTCTTACTAACCCACTCTCACTAACATGCATTACTCACTCATACATATCCTGAGCTTTGAGTTCGTAGGGTGGTGCTTCGCTGATGCCTGGTTGGGGAGGATCCCGCTAGCCAACGGTAGGTCGGTGCCGGATCTCACCATCTAGCGAGGGAAGATCGCCTCCGTCTCCCACGGTATAACATGCTCTACACTTGCGGGATTAATGACCTTAGCAGTTGAAGCGCCTGGAATCACTAATCAATCACTCAATAAAGGAGTTTCATTGTAAGAGTTCACTGCCAAGAGATTTTAGCTACAGCATTGCAATTCTTTTCCATTAGTACGTAATAAAAGACAAAATAAGAATTCATACATGAAGGCATCAATATTTTTGTCCCTCATAATCGAGTTCATATCCTAGTCACAATGCGTTTGCAGAAAAACTTATACCGTTTCAATTTTTGGTTTCGGCACATCCGAAATCGTACATATCAATTGAAACATTAAATGCAATTTTCCAAAACAAACTTTTTAAAGCTTTGTGTTTTCTTCCCCAGCGGGAGCCCCAAGTACATGGTTAGTCTGCTTATGAATTATTCCATCCCTAAATATGACAGTAAATATGACAGTGACTTCAATCATTCCATCAAACTTTAAAATATTTCATTTTCCTATTTGAAGAGTTTATTTATTTATTTATTTATTTATTTATTTATTTATTTATTTATTTATTTATTTATTTATTTATATTAATAGGTATAGTGCTAAATGCACTATATAAGACGATATATACACCATATTTCTCTATCCTTTGGCTTTTTCAAAAATTACACAAATGTAATTTTTTAAGCTTGTATCTCACTTTGTTATAATATTAAATTAGCGTCAATTTTATTACATTAATGAATTTATGAGTACATGTGCTTTAATAATTTGAGATAAAGTTTCCCGAAAACTCAAGTTTTCCGTGAAAATGAGCTCAAAATTCCGCATTTTCAGAAACGCTCAAACACTATTTTCTCAAAAACGGCTCCAAATTTTTTCTTCAAACTTTTCCAAAAGATCACATATAATTAATTTTGCTATATTCATTTGTTTTTTCAAAAATTGCACAAATGTACTTTTTTCAATAGTCTGTCATGTCTGTAATATGCATATTTCCAGCGGTTTGTAAACACTATTGTATTTGTGACTGGAAGTGCTTGAAATGATGTCACATGAAGTTTTCCGAAAACTCAATAGACTTCTGTGAAAAGAGGTTCAAATTTCGAATTTACAGTAGTTAAATGTCATTTTCTAAAAACGGCCCCAAATTTTGCATTGAAAATTTCTATTTAGATCGAGATTTTACTGTTTTTTAATATTTATAAAGGAATAATTTGATTCTACAATTTAGAAACCGAAAAATTAATGAAATTTTTAAAAAATGTACTTTGAGCGGGTGATAGATGGCAGCTGGCAAGAGAATGTGGCAAGTCCGAATAGCTATCCGAGACCAATGGAAATAGAAAACTAATACGGATAAATCTGTTCCATTCCGTAGCACTACTAGATATTTTTGCCCTAAGCCCAACTTCAACTCGAGAACAAATTTGTTTATATCATTTTCTTAACATAGAGAAATCATCTATTGATCCATTTAACAGTCACATGCACAGTGTGAAAAACTTAAATTCTAGTGGAAGGAACCGAGCGTTTCTGTTCTGCCTGGCTCAGCCTCCCCCATCCCTTCCCACACCGGCCACCACGTCCTGATCCCTCCACCGTTCTGCCCAGCCCCATCGCCTCCTTCGCAACTCTTATTAAATGTTCAACTTCGTTCTTGAATTCCTCGAAGTCTAATTGTATTGTCAGCATGATTAAAATTCACATGGAAGGACAGTTTATGGCAGGGCCCTCAGGAGAAAGACTAAGCGAATGGGTTTTCGTAAAGGTTTGAGGCACGCGGCGATAATAGCTATCGAAGTTACTTGTGTCACAGGCGGGAACCAGGGGTGATAAAACTTCGTGAGAACACGGCTAGTTGGGTCAAACACACGAGTTGGTATATCATAAAGAAATTTTCTTATTTTTTATAAACGTTTAATAGAAATTGACATATAAACAGAAAGTGTATTGATCTGTTATTGCACAAAGAAAACATTAACGCACATTTCTACCTAGCGTATGAGAATTATTAACATTAATTACAAATAACTCAAAAGAATATTTTAAGGAAATAAATATAAGCCAAAATACGAGCATATACTAAATCACAATAAGAATTTATATAACGTAATTTTAAAAAAAACACTGTCACTATTATTGAAAATAAACATTAAACAAATACGTTGTGCCTATCTTTCGAGTGAAACTACACGTAATGAAAGCACTTAAAAATTATATAGGAATGATGAATAGAGAAGAGAAAATATATAGAATGAAACGTCAAATTATGTACATAAATATGTAACGAAAACAGCGAGAATATGTAATAAATATGTAAAATCGAGTATATTATGTAATATTAAAATACATTTATTATAAAACACGTAATACAAAGTTACATTTATAAAAAAATTCCTAACAATTTAAAAAAATAATACAATCGTTTCAAAAATCATTTGGAGAATTAGAGTTGATGCATATTTTGCACCGTAAAACTTTCCCATTAGTAAAAAAAGCTTTATCTATTGCTATCCAGGGAAGTAGTTTAGCAGCTAGACTAGACGCAATCGTACAAACTGGCAGTATCTACGACCAGCAAACGATCACTGCAGCGTGCAGCATTCTCATCGAAGTGTTGCACGTCGGCGATCGCCCAAGTTTTTCGGAAATTAAGGTTTAATATTATTACGAAACCCGGCGTCAGTGATGGATCGTCTACTTGTGCATCCCTGAGAAATGGGAGCGCGGGCCGCTGGCATCGCGTGCCCTTGCAGAGCGCAAGCGGGCTCCGAGCACGTAGTACGTGCTCCGTTCGACAGTCTTGGTTTATGGGCTTCTATAAAATGCAGATATGTATAGTGGCAGATTTCTTCATATTTGAAACAGAAGCGGCTACTATTGGGTCTATGAAAAAAGTAGTCTTTAGAGGGTTAATAGAGAGAATCTTCTTTTTACGAAGAACTATTACATAGTGACTACATTGGGAGTTTAGGAAACTGCCTATTTTATTTTAATGCACATATTTAAGGGCTTTAATAACGGGCACGAATTGTGAATAATTAAAAATGACGAAGTTTTATTTTGAATCTTTTAGGCTATTTTGACATAAATTACTTTTTAGACATTTTAACTTTCTTACATTAATTTTGAAAACATATTTCTTGGTTAAAAATAATCGATTACATAAATTTCAGTGTTAGTACACCAAAAAGTAGTTTACAGGTAACGATCGTCCATTTGCTTATACAAACTCAACGTCTCGTATGCACAACACATATCTGTCTTAGAAGCATCCATTCCTGCTTTCCATGCAATTATTTGCACAATTAAAACAAAATATCAAGCGGTGGGGGTTGAATGAATGTTGGATTCTGAACACACCCATACTCTCACGTGTTAGGGGTCAAGTCGATAATGCCGACTTCCGAAATTGATATTCTATCGATGTTCTTCCAGGATGGTAAGGTAAGGAAGGATCCGATGATACAAATAATTTTAAAAAAATCACTTCAAATCCGCCATTATATTAGATGAAATTAAACTGGAATGAGTACCCCGTCAGTGGACAGGATATACTACTTGTACATGAATCCCGAAATCCCCCCAACCAATTTCCTTAAATATTGAAGCTCGGGCAAAGCGGAGAATGCCTTTTACAATGCAAATTTTCATTTTAATTTCTGAAAATTCGGTGTCCTATATTCTTACAATTTTCCTGAGAATGATACTTTAAATGAGGTAAATTTAAAACAAGCTTAGGAGCTGATCGATGGTTGGGGAGAGGGGTGGTCCCTTAAGAAGGATACAATTTATTAACAATTCATGGGGTTCAGTGTTCAACCCAAGAAACATCGGTCGATGATATATGTGATCGTTTAATAGGAAGAGTCTTTCAGAGACGTTTCGTTGAATTTGCGAAAAAAGTGAAAGAATGCGCATTTAATATGTGCCATAAGGATCGAGAAAGAAGAATGGGGGTAGTTTTAATTTATGAATACTACAGTGAATTTTATCTTCTTTTAAAGGTAAAACGTGTACAGTTTAATTAAAATTACAACAGAATTGTGTAAAAAAAAACATTCTTCTTTGTACTGGTTTCAGAATAAATGTTACTAAGTCCTAGGGAACCTAGGGGGATGGTTGCTCATTGCCTATGAGCCAGTGGTGGGAAATCGCATAAAAGGAAGTTACACATGTGGCATTCACTCCTGATTGTCAGGCAACTTATTTTGCAATGGTGTTTGGAATACACACAGTATCTCTTTCATTGATGTAGAGACGGGTAACTGCCATACACTAGTGTACGGTGAGTTGCCTATCAATCAGGGGCACGCTATTAAATATATTTATTATTATTATTATTATTATTATTATTATTATTATTATTATTATTATTAACATATTCTTGGCATTGTAAAATCATACAGATATGAATCCAAGCATGATTACATTTTTTTGGTTTGATAACACTTATAAAATAGAAAAAGGAAACACATATAAAAAATAAATATAAAATGAAATTTAAAATGGTGAAACACTTATTACGTTACATGTTTATTACACGAATTATTACACAATTGTGTTTCACCATATCAAACTTTACATAATTTATACATGTTTCCACCTATGAATGTTCTAGCCTTAGAACACGTATGGATGCTTACAGATTTCTGGATGTTGATCATTATATTTTTATTGACGTTTCGAACCTCCAATCACTTAATAGTGACCTTCGGAACGACGCCAGTGTCTGTCAATTCTATGGGAATAATTTCAGCTCGTGCCAGAGCCCATTCTTCCGTCACAACGTGAACCAGTTCTCTATTTTTTTCCACCTTCGTGTAGTAGGTTGTCATGATGTTATTAGTGTTCACAACAGCGAAGTCTATAAACCAGGTCTTCTTGGTTTTTGTGTTTCAGATGGTGATATTCGTTCTATTGTGATGGATGGTTTTATCCATGAGAATGCGTTTGTGGTTGGTACTAATAGTACAGTGTATTATCCCACAGGAGGTCATACATCTTGGCAAGTTTGGCGTAGTTAATTCGCTCAACGTTATCATACCTCAGTTTATATTCAGTAGGTGCTAACATATTACAGACTGCTAATAGTATGTACTGGATTGTTTTAGGACCTTGGCCACATATTAAACAATCATCGTTTACAACTGGATATTTTACTATGTATTTTAGATAATAATTATTATTGCGTTGAACAGACTGACCAAATGTGTAGAAACTATTGATCATGTTTATATATATATATATATATATATATATATATATATATAATGCGTTAAATTAAATAATTCGCTGAAAATGTTAGTTGCCGAAACATTATATTCTCAGGGAGTATGGTACTCCATATCCTAAAACAACAAGAATGGAGTGCTTGATATTAATCACATTCCTTTTGCTGGTTAAGAGCCCTTTTTGTTCATATCAATCCTATATGTGAATAGACAGTTCAAGACAGTGAGGAGACGACATTATAGTATGTTACATTTTTAATACTTGAGAACTTCAAACATTTGATTAATACTTGTCATTTTACCACAATTTTAAAGAGTGATATCCATCTCTAGCGTGTCCCCAACCTACCCTGATCTTTCCTGCTTTCAGATCCACCCGGCCGTGTCCATTTAAAAGCGCTCAGCTCCCCCTACCCTATCCCCTCTCTCTGCATAGCCCGACCCCAGATCCCAGACCGCCTGTTCACTACGATCATCGTTGCTCCCTCCATTGTTGCTACATACACCTGTAAAGAGTACTGCAAGAAGGGTGGAATTAATCTGTAGATTTGAATAACACACAAACAACTATTCATCTTCATAACATTGACAATAGTAAGTATATAAAAAGAGAAGCCTAAACTCTGCCTGAAGTAATACTCCATCAGATATATTGAAATCACAGACAGACATTTCAATTTTATTTATATAGATAAACAAAAACTTTCGAAAAATGTTGTTAAATATGGTTAATATGTTTTAAGAGAAACTAATGTTGCATGAAAATAAGTAATTGTGAAGTATTTGTGTGATCCCACTTTAATTCAATCATCCAATTAACCTGCGATGCTTGTCACGTACGAACTCAGTTACATTCATCCTGTTGACATAGGGTATGTGAGCGTCGCCGTGTGTTCGTTAAGATAGCGTCCACAGAAGCTCCTGGAAGACGTGCTTCTGCAGCTATCTCTTGAGCTTCTTCACCTATGTTTGCACTGTTACAGACAAACAGATACGAACTCTTTCTGACCGATTGCGACCAAGTGACCCCGAGCTTTGGAAAGAACGGTTCAAACTAAAGAACCCAAAATTAAAAATCACTGACGAAATAGGTACATATCTACACATTTTCTAATCAGGTAGAAACGACGGGTAGTCGTAGAAAAGTTCGGGTGATATCCCGAGTGCATGAGCAGAAAATGGAACGGAAGGGTGATCTAAACTAACTTTGTAGAAGCATTGTTTGGAAGTTTAGTTCTTTAGTATTGTACAAAAGTATGGAGTGGTCAACTCCGATAAGTCTAATATGCAATGATTTTACTTTTTCGCTACCGCTTCTGCAGTAGAAAGTTATGTAATGGTGCAGGAAAAAGTGGCGAATATTAAGCAGAAAAACTTTTATTACAGGACCCTGGTAACAAGAAAGTATATGAATACAGTCTCTAAATTTAGAAAATAATCCTCTAACACGTAATGTAG